TCTGACCATCCCAGGACGCTCTTCAGTCTGTTTGTGGTGGCCATGACACCACCCTGACCCCCAAACCAACAGTGCTGCTCCAAAAAGCCGCTCCAGTACTCTGAGCACAAGGGTAAAGGCAGAGGAAAGTGCTGAGATACGAAGAGGTTGGTTTGGTTTTGTGGTACAGAAAATGAGGGAAGGAAACTCCAGATGAGGATCTGCATTAAAAAAAAAGAAGAGCAGCTGGGTGATCCCAAACCCCAAACCAGATACAAAAAATGTAAAAATGTGATATATGACATGGGTTTGTGGAGGTGCTGTGCAAGGAGCTCAGCCAAGGAGAGCTGGGCCTGTGTCAAGCTGGAACTCGCAGATGGAAAGTAGAACTGCCTTCCAGAAAAGAGAATTCCAGGGTAACACTCCAGGACTCCAAAGGCTGGGAAGAGACAAGAAGGACACGAGGAAGATGCTGAGGGGCTGATCTGAAGTGTGGGACCCATTCTGCAAGAGGCAGACACACAAAGTGTGCAGATGGGCGATGAAAGGAGCAGGACCACTCCATGTGGAGCTCTGGCTGCTAATGAGGTGCTACCTGGGCAAAGAAGGACAGAGAAAAGGATTAATTAATTTCCTCGAGCACTTGTGACTTTGAAGGAAAATTTCTGAAGGAAACTTTACCAAGGAAATTGGAAAGCTGATGGAGGGAAGAAGAGAACAGCCGAAAGACTGAGATCAGAAACTCTGAAATTCCTGCAGAAGATAACCACATTGGACTGTGTCATTCCAAAGGGCAGAAATACAGAGCCACAAAGAAAGGATGGACAGGGCAATGGAAGCAACTGGAAAAGAAAACAGATGAATAACAGTTTGCTCCTCCTGGAAGATGTGTCACCGACCTCAGCACAAAGGCAAAATGGCTAAAATGTGACATGCTCACTAAATCCAAGCCAGCCTACATGACCTCATGTTTAACATGAAACAATAACTGGAATTTAGAGGCAGGGAAAGCCAAATTAAATAAAGCCATTTAAAAATTACAGTGACGGTCACCCCTTGTTTAAACAAGCTACTAAAGCAAACAGCAAAAAACCGCCCATCACTTGACATTTTCACATAAATACTAGAAATATTTCTGAAAGATTTACTGAATTCAAAACATGGTATCAGGTTCGAGGAAGGCTCATATCACTTATCACACTGGACAGCTTTACTAGGTGGTCAGACAAATGATCTAATACTACACTCTGCCCTTAAAACTAATGACATTTTTTTTTTTCAACTTACAAAATAGAAAGGTTGGAGTGAACTGAACAAAGGAAATACAGGTAGTGCTGCCTTCTCCTTCAAGCAGAACAACCAACACTATGCATCCACTGAAATGAGAGGAGAAAACCCTTCAGTCTGAGGAGCAAGCTGGGAACAGATAAACTGCAGCAGTCAAGGTCATTTGGAAAGCCAGCCTTAATAACCTGAGGTGGAAACTGGACAAGAAAATAAGGCATTTTTGCAAAAAAACCCCCAAAATTCTGTAAATAGGGGGAAAGTCTTGAAGCTTGTTAAAAAGGAAGTTGAAGTGTTTTATCCTGAATGGAAAAAAAGCCTCTAGTTGTTGGTTTGGTTGTGTACAACCTTTAAACAGCATTCTCACATTCTGGATTATAAAAACAAAGTTATATAAAAAACCAAAAGGACCCAAAGACAAAACAAAAACCCCAACCCAAGCTGCAGAGACTTCAGGACTGGGTCCCAGGACCTCCCTGTTGAGAGAACCTTTCCTAACCCCACTTAAACTGTCACGTACCAGCATTGCTTTAACATTTCTCCTTCCTCCACAGCATTTATTGCTTACAGCCATTTCCCCAACTCAGCCTTCAGTTTAAGCTGAAAATATCCAGCTACTCAGAGCTCCTCTCCTGTGGGTCCTGCACACCATCAGTGAATTTGAGAGCCCATCTCTCCTATGACTTCGGCTCAGTCTTTTGAAAATGCCCGACCAGAATTACTCAGCAAATGTAACAGGACCTGTGTGACACCTCTGATCCATTCTCAGACCCACCACACCCTGTGCCAGATCTCAGTGTGCCACCACACTGCTCCTTCCCACAGCACCAACCCACCAGGCCTACCCTGGCTCCTTTTCCTGCCAAGTTTTTGCTGGATTTGCCACCACCTGGCTTTGCATCTGCACAACTGGCACCTTTCTGCCGATTCTTGGACAGCGCCAAATCCTTGTGCAGCCCCAGAGCCTCCTGTCACCCTGCTGTTGACATGTTTAGCTTCATTCTCCATCAAGACCCACAATTCAAATAATGCCACCAAAAGCAGATCGTGTAAAGGCAGGCACATTCATCAAACTCCTCTTTCAGCACTGCCTCAGGTCACCTGTAGCCTCTGCTGCCATCACCTTCCCCACTCTGTATTTTCCCACTAACTGCATCCTCTGCTGTCTACACTTATTTAGCACATCCTTCACCAAACAGGAAAATCTCATCACCACCCAATAAAAGCAGTCATAAAACAGAGAAGGTTGCTCTGGCTCAGCAGTCTTTTGTTTATTATGGGCCACTTTTTAAATCAGTCATTTAACCCAACTTTGGTTTTTCACTGCCTCCCAGATTTTCAGACCATAGCCCAAAGTCAGTGTCCATCAGTCTTGTCCCTGCCCAGATGTTTTTTTCCCTTCTGAAGCAGGAAACTGGATTACTCTGCTCCACTCAGACAGAGATAACCTCAAACCAACACAAAAACATTGAACGTGCATTTCGGGCTCAAATCCTGGAAAGGTTTTGTGCTTCTGAACTGATCCCAATAAGTGCACACAATAAACACCATTTCTAGTTCAATTATCAATCCACTAGGAACAAAATGTACTTACACAAGCCATGTCCAAACGATGCAAGGACACTCCTGGTTTTTCCTTGGGAAATGGGGCTGCAAATGTGGCTGTCAGCAATTCTTGGCAGCCAGATGTTAAATGTTTGTTTTACATATGTTAAAGAAGCAAGTTCAGTCTGACAAAGCAGCATCTTAAAATACGAATTACCCAAGAAATATGAAATCCCACTTCAACAGAAGGAGATTGCATTTGGTTTTTTGCAAGTTTTTTGGCCTCAAAGCTCTTGGAAGTCTTTGCTGGGACAATGTGCAGCTTTAGGGCTGTTTTCTGTTTTGTTTCACAGAGGGAACAGGAACAGTTTTACCATAAAATAAATTATAATAGATGACATTTTTAGCTCTAAATGTTCAGGGCAAAAAACTTCCTCTCTTCCATAGATAACATTTCACTGTACATTGTGCTCCCTGCATAGAGACCCACAAATTTCAGAGTTTTGTGATTTACAGCCTCTTACCCTTTCCTGAACTGAGCTGGAGGCTGCTCTGCAGCCCTGCAGGAATGGGGGCCAAAACTCCCACAGATCCCATAAAAGCAGCTCACCAAGTTCAGGTGGATCTCTGTTCAGACCCACAGTGAAAAGAGAGCACAGACCACCAAGGAGGTTCGTGCCCAGGGTCAGTTTTGCCAAGCATGGGTTTCCCTCCTGAAGCAGCTGAACTTCTGATTTTTTAAAAAACTTTTAGAGATGAAGGACGCCTTACCCAGGAGCACAGGAAAGGTCTGAACAGCATCCAGCTGGAATTTAACCTGCCTGGAACACACTTCTGCCTGTGCTCAAAGAAACAAACTCCTCAATAAAGCAAATACAATTAGATCCTGCTGCAGCCTTCCATCATCACAGAACCAAATAAAACAATGGACACTTCTCGTGTTGGACTTCGGCAAAAGACATTTATTATTATTATTATTATTATTACTGCTGTTGTTGTGTTGCTGTTGTACCTCCTCTGCTTGCCCACAGTGGTGGCATAAACGCTGTTACCACATTGCAGCTGATGATGCCGGTGTACAAATCAAAATCCATCTTAATTTCAAACTCCATTAGAAACACAGGAAAAAAGATCAACATTTACGAAATGTAAAGGGAAAAATGGTATGGAAAGAATTATTTTGTTTTTATTTTTCAAGCTTCCAAGACAGTATTACAAACAACAGAGAGCAAAGTAAAGCTAGAAATGAAATACTTGACAGCATCTGTTTAAAAATTACAGCTAAGAAACCTAATAAAAGTTGAATAAACAGTTACTAGAAATAAAAATTTTTACACATATGATATTTGTCTGGGATTTTTATTTCTTTAAAATAATTCATACAAATGGTTACAGTCACAAACATGATTTTAACCAAAAATATTGCTAGCCTACCACATTACCAGGAAGGAATCAATGTAGGCAATGAAATGCTGCTACTTTTCAGTAGTCTAGTGCCTTTTCCAGATACCACCAATAATATATACTTTAACTGGTGACAAAAAGCACAACGCTCGTTTATACAAAACCTTTTTGTTTTCCTCAAAATCTCTTTGCAAGGTTGTCTTCATTTTGAAATAAGGGAATTCATGCCAAAATTAGGAGAAACTGTTTTTCTTTTGTTTACTAAATTATTCTAAAAAATAAGACAAGCAGGTAGAAAAAACAATGCACTGTGTGGCGTAGAAAGAAAAATGGGAAAAATTCATTGTCCTGAGAAGTTTGCCAACTGCCTCATTTTTGGGCACGTTTGAAAATATAAAAGAAAGGATTTTTAATCTCAAAACCGGTTTGCTGAATGCCTCCCTTATGTTTTTCCTTGTCGACAGCTAAGCAAACAAACCCTTTTTAATGTTCTAGAAACTGTACACAGACAAGTACATTCATGATATAATTAACTACTAACTTCTCTTGCTTAACAAAGAACCCATAGGACACAGAAACAGTGAATCAGTCCACTGGACAGGGACAAACTACAATTTATACGGAGGAAAAAAATGTTTCCGAATCTTCTTTTCGTCTCCCACCTTTTCCTTTCACGCTGTATATTGGACCAGTTTCTAAAGCGATAATCGTCTCCTCCTGTAAGTTCGTGGTTTTGCCTCGAATCCAAATCCCGGGTTTTGCTTTGAGTCGGGCTGTTTTCCGCGCAGGGAATGCTGCTCTGGGCTACAATTGGTCGCTGGGGTGCTCTCTATCAGCCTCTGGTTTGACAGTTTGGCCGGGGGAGGGAGCGTGGGGCGGGTGGGCCACGGCGGGGAGCCCGTGCGACAGAGACATGGGGTTGGGGACGATTCCTTCCACGGCCGCGGGGATGCCCGTGGAGGCCACGCTGACCACGCCCGGGGGATACCTGCTGGGAGGAGAACGGCAGAGCAGCGTTAAACCAGAGGGCTGAGCAGGGAGAGGCATCTGTGCCTGTACCAGCTGTGGGCAGAGAGACACATCTGTGCCTGTACCAGCTGTGGGCAGAGAGACACATCTGTGCCTGTACCAGCTGTGGGTTTCTCTGGCTCTGCACTGAAGGCATTGAGACAGCAGCTCATGTTCGCACTCAGGTGTTTATTATTTCCTATCAGTAAAACAGTCTCACTGCTGGGAGTTCTGCAGCCTTTCATTAGAAGGCACAAAATGGCCAACAATCTCTTGGTACAAGGGCTTTTAACACTAAGCTATCCAATGAAGAACTGACACCTGGATTATTTTCCCTTTTAACCCAATAACTGATCCCACAGACCTCACAATGCAGACTGGTCTGCCCAATTACAAAATGCCACCCAAACCCATGGAGAAGGAGGAAGAAGCAGCATGAAGAAGAAACCCAGGATGACACCCTGTGCCCTCCATCTTGCTTCCATCCACAACACACTAAAAATCCCAAAACCTCAATTTCTGACCCAGTGACACACCCACACTGCTCTCTATAACCTATTTCACACTTTTGTGGATTCCAGTCTATCTTGAAGTCTGGGAAACTTTCTCCATGGATGAGGATCAGTCAGTGCTGCCCTGGGGTCAGGGCACCCCAGAGCAGACACAGAAATATTCCCTGTGTGCCCTGGGTTTGCACACCCACCCTGCCTCCTTCCAGAGCTACAGAGATGCTTCTTTTGCTTTCAGACCAGCTAGAGACACAGAGGGTTCAGCTCCAGGCAAGATGCCACAGGCAGATGCTGCTACATAAAGCAAGGGATGCTGCATTTCAACCAAATGAGACATGAAAGTTTGCCAGATTGTTTCTTCAGATTGAAGAGCAGGAGTAACAGCACAGCAAAGGAAACCACCTTCAAGTTTTGCTCCTCTCAAAGCATAACTTCAACAAGAAGTAATTCCAGCTAGGTCTGTGCAATATGTTCTCTACAACTTTTCCTTTTCGTCCTCTTTCATTCTCATGTAGGAATGTAAAATTTTCATTGCTGTGGTTTGGAAAAGTATTTGTTTACACTATTTTTGCAGTCTTAGCTTCCTGACAGCTCCCCCAAAATGCCAAGACACCCACACACTAATAAGATGACAAACTATTGCACCTGAGTAACTTTTTCAGCAGCAAACTTGCCGCTGCACTTGGCTGAATGAGAACCAGTGCCAGTTACACAAGGACAAGTGCTTTAGGCAGACTACAAGAAAGGGAAATGCAAACACAAAATTTATGGATGGTTTTAAAGATTTCTTCCTCTACCTGGACAAACACTGAGGCTTAAATATTTTGTACATTCAACAAAAGAATCACCCTCTGATTCAGCTTGATTTAATGATGGTTCTGATGTTATCAGGCTAAAAAAATCTTGCAAATCTACTGTTCCAATCACAAACTTCAGATGTAACTGATGAACACTGGTGCTTCACAGTGCTGTATAAAAACAGCTAAACATGGATTTAATAAAAACATATAGGTTTTTAAAGTCAAGTACCTCAAAACCTATTTGCAAGTTATGTCACACTGGCCACTTAGCAGAGACCCTTTGCCTCCCCTGCTCATCATAAAGTTGCCCACTCATCCCTCATGTCCCTCATTCTCTCCTGCTGTCCTCTGCCCACCCAAACATTCTGGTGAGAGCATTATCCATGTGAAATCCTGAACACAAAAACCACCACTCACTGCAGCTTTTGCTGCCCAAGGATTTACCCAGGACTACCTGGGACAAAAGGCACTTGTCGAGCTTTTTTCAAGTACATTATTCTGCTGTTGATCTTCTCCTCATCACAGCTCAGTGCAGCTGGGAATTTCACCCCTTTTCTGCATCTTCTCCATGGTACCATGTGCTTGTGCTGCTCATCCCAAATTCCCTCAAACTGGCAGAAAATTAGTGCAGAACTTAGGCAAGACTCAGGAGAAAAAAGCTGGATCAAGCACTCTGAGTTGGTTTCTTGCTCCCACCACGGAAACATCACGGGAAGCACTTTTGGATTGGAAACACAGAGCCAGAGGGGCTCAGCAGGGACACAGGGACAGCAGGGACAGCACACACTGCCCTGGCCATCCTGGCAAAGCCTCCACACACCCAGCACTGCATCTGGGATGGGTAACGAGGCTGTGGCTGATCACACCTCCTGCAGGCCTGGTAACTGCTCCCAACTGTACACATATTTATTTACAGGGCTTCCCATGCTAATTCCCTCTCCACAGAGGTTCCTTGGAATTCATTTGCACTTGCTAATGGAATTAGTTGCTTGTTTCAGTAACTCCATTTGAATCTTATTAATCAAATTTGCTTCAATGCCTATGAAAACTGTCAGACAGTATTGTTTTACCTAAATTTAATTTTGAAACAGCTTTTCTGTTATTCTAGGTGCTGTGCAAGACACACAACACGACACAAATTTCCATTTAAAAGTCCAAGACTGCAGCTGTTCTCAACACAATCTCTACTCTCTAACAACACATTCCCTCAGAATCAACACACCAGAGCTGGAAAAAAGTCAAGGAGAGAGCAACCTCTGCAACTGTGTTTTCCTCAGGAAGAAAAGCCAGAGCCTCCCCTTGTGAAAATGGACAGTGCTAGATCAGGAGCGCTAAGAGTTACCCTATGAGCACATTAAACATTTCAAACTGCACATCTGTAATTCTACTGACTCCAAATATCCTTGCTGATTATAAGGACATTCCCATGGACACCAAGTCATAATCACCAGGATCCTACCTGCCAGCACCTCACCTCAGGTTTCACCACAGGTTTCCTACAGACTTTTAGTGACATCCAGAGGCCCTGCAATTGTTGTTTTTTTGTCCTAAAGCCACACAGTGGCAGCAGCCCATACACAGATACCATCCTGTTCCACAGAAACTGCCCTGAACTTGACTACTCCTAACCCTGCTTTGCAATCCTCTTTCTGTAATTTTTGTCCCTTTTTAACCATCAGTGTTGCTCAAATCCTATCTCTGAAAGGGCACATAAACTCCAGCCTCTTTCCATGAGCACATGTATTCTATTTAACTTCCCCTTTTCCTGCTATTTATTGCTTTTCCAGTCTTTCCATTTTTTCTATTCTCAACCAGCAAATACATCCTCTCCAGCACTTCATGAAGTTCCCCTCTATGTTCCTCCTCTGGCAGCAGTAAGTTGAAATATTTTCCAGGTAAAATATCCACTGAACTAAATTTTTGTGAAAACAGAAGTGAGCAATCAGTTATACCTCTTAATTAATTCATACTCTTCCATCCCCTTCCCCTCTGTAGTCTTAATTTAGGAGGAAAAACACACTAGCCCTCTTAATTACAACAGATAAGCAACTTTAATTTCTACTTTACTCTCATCTATCTTTTAAATGGCAGAAGCACCTTGCATTCAGTATATCAAGCTCTGTTAAAGTAACTGAGTCTGTCCTAGAAGAGTTGCAATTTTTAAGTGCACTCTGTTATCATGCACTGAATCTGAAAATCACCAGAGAAGCACCCCAACATGAATTAACTCCTGAATTACCAACACTCAGCCATGCCCATCCAAGTACCTCTTCAGTACTGAGGTATTCACAGAATCATGGAATGGTTTGGATGGAAGAGACCTTAAAGATCAACTTGTTCCAACTCCCTGCCATGCTCAGAGCCATTTCCAGCCTTATCCTCCAGCTGCTAGGAGGCAGGAAGATGTGTGGAAATGTCTATAAATGGTACAACCACTGTTCCTGGCTGCTGAATTTCTCTGTGCCTGTGACAGGAAGTGGCAGGGAGTTATTTCACAGCTTGGTAACAAATACACAGTGATAACACAAGATCAGGGTATGCTGTGCCTGACCACTACAAACAATTCCTTCTCAGGAGTATTGCTGATCTTTACTCATGGGATAGGTCCTGTTTGCATGACCTTTAGTGTTGATAGGGTGTCTTGCATTTCAGACAGTAAATGGTTTTTGTTTTCCCCAGAATATGATGACATTCAGATGATCTAGATTACAATGTGCTGACTAATGCTCAATGTTCTTAGCTTGTGATAATATCTGTAATTTGAGATTTCTGTCCTACATCAAAATACAAGTGAATTATATATCCAAAATAAAACAGCCAAAAGAGATATCTGCATTTTTTAACATATCAATTATTATCCCAGGTCTTATCTTCTAATGCAATTACATGAGTATGATACAGCTATTAGCACATCTGAAACATTGTACTGTCTGTGAAAGACTCCAGAACTCACTTAGCTCAACATCATCTTGGATTGCAAAGAAAAGATGGAAAAACGTGGTTTGAACCATCAGTTTAAATGCTGTACTTAATCCAGGTAGGAATTAAGCATCAGCAAACACTGCTATTGAAACCAATTCCTTCATAAAACCTGGGCTTCAAGTGATGCATATTTTACACTTCACACAGTAGTAACTGCCTTTACCCACATTCTAACAGTATTCTATTGCCCTTCCAAAAAGCTTTTAACATTTATTGTATAACTATTAACTCCTGCCTCAAAATTCCTAAAACTACTTTTATTTTACATTTGAAAATAATGAAATCAGAATTTTACAATAAATTTTCTTTATCAAAAAAATGGACTGAAACAATGTCTCAAAAGGCCACTCAGTTCTGTGTTTACCCTGCTTAAATTGAATACATATGGTCTTTACCTTGTAAATCATTAACTCCCCCAAACATTCCTAAGTTAAAATTAATTTCTGGCTGCAAAGCCTGCTGCTGCTGGGCTTGTGACCCCCAAAATGAGAACAAAAAGCTGCATTTTATTTGGGCATGGACCCCTGTTCTTAACTGCCATGACAGGGTTGGGGTTATTACCTCCTGTCCAGCAACACCTGCCTTTAAGCCCCAATTCCATTCAGCCATGTCCACACTACCCCAAACTGCAGTCCCTGAAACCAGATGCTGCGTGGAGGAGAACATGCGTGCTTGAGCTTCTCATTTAAGCAAATAAAACCACCCTTCTTGGATATTCAGGGCTATGGGCACACTGCCAGAAATAAACATCAAGTGCTGTGATCACCAAATCCAAATTATTCCCTTTCCCTTGGTGCACTTATGGCTCCTGATGTGGCAGAGGGGGTGACGCTCATCCCTGCCACCCCTCCATCCCTTTCTGATGAGATTGTTCCAAGTCACTGGGACAGGATAACAAGATCAGGAATCTCCCCTCTACTGAAAGTATGGGGAGTCCTCCTAAACAACAACAAAGGTAAAGCGGATGCCTGAGGAAGGACAGTGGAAGGATGAGGATTAGGATAGTGAGCTATGACAAAACAGTGGCAGGGCTGCACTGCCCCTTTCCTCAAGGCACTGAGGGAATCTGGCATTTGGAGCTTTCTGCCACCTTCATCCTACTCGTGTGTAAATATCGTGCTGGAAAACACAAAAACTGCAGGTGTTTTTCATAAATAAAAACTGTCTGAAGCTGGCTACTGGGAAGAATCTGCTGCTAGAATAGCTGCTAGGGGTAAAGGGACAGAGAATGACTCTGGAGCAAACAAAATAACTAAGGTATGTGCATATTAGATGTAAAAAATTGCCCCTTTCTATTAATTATTAAGACCTGCTTTCACAGTTGACTGAGAATACATAGATCAAGTCTCTAAAATGCTTCTGCTTAAAAATTAAACATATAATTTAGAAAAAGCTATTTTAAACATATTTTCATAATCACCACAGGCCGTTGCACTGTTTTCAATACTGAGTTAGTTGTTCTCTCTTGTGTCTGGAGGCCACAAAACAATGCAAGTTTATTACTGAAAGTCTTTCTGTAACCTACAGCTGCATCATTACCTTCAGCAAAAAACCAAAACACTTCCACTGCAACACTGGAGAAGACCAGAATTGTTTTACTTGAATATACAAATATTGCTCACATCCTAACCTAACAGAAAAAAGACTGTAAGAGCATTTATAGCCAGACACAGCATGACTGGTATCAACTAGCAAAACAGGATTATTTTCCTGAACACAACGATTACAAAACCAATATAGCTGGTGTGTAATGCAAAAGCACTTCTATCATTAACAGGAAACTCTTTCATCTATTCTTGAATACCTACACTGAATTATGGAGGTATTTCCTCTGTCTCTTCAGCACACTTACCTGTATGCAGCACCATTAAGCTCTGGATGAACAACTCCAGGGTCCATACTGGCCCAATGTGTAGCTGCAGTCAAGTGATCTTTGTTAACACAGTTTTTCAGACTGTCTGGAATACGGCCTAAGATGAAGCAAGGAAGAGGAAATAAAAATGTATTAAAATTGTGTGCCTCATACTCTTAGTATGTCTGTGTTAAAAAATATTTACAAATATTTGTGTATTTAAAGCAATACATAAAATGACACTAAGAGCTTGTTTCTGATCCTTGCTGTAGCCTTTTGCCTGGGACTTAGGCAATAATGGCTGAAATGCTCTGCTTAATTTTGATTTTCCTGTCTCTCTTTATCTCTTGTATGCAGGGTCTCAGGAGAACCAAAATAAGTAAGAGTTATCTTTCCAAGAAGCTGTAATTAGGATATAGAGCATAGCTACCAATCAGATTCAGTAATCTAGCCCCCTGCTTTCTGTCCTTAACATCACTTTCCTCCTTTTCCTTCCACCTGTAACAGCAACTAAAAACACTTTATGAAAAATACAGAATTCTGAATGGAATTGTGCCATAAACTTGAATATGACCAACACTTATTCCCTGTCCTCCTGAACTTTCCCATCTTTATCTAAATTGCTCTTCACTTTTATTTACTGCAATGCATTAATCCTCAGCCATGCCTTTCATTCCTACATAAAATGAAAATACACCAGAATTTCCTTTCTTCACTTCATTAAACTCTTCCTTAACCTCTGAAGTACAACTGAAGTTTTAAGACTGGAAAATCTGTCAACCTGAATCCTCAATTCAGCACTGGACAAGCCTGTGACTGTCATCTGCAGAATTATCTTCAGCCCTGCTACAAATGACATGAGCAGTTCCAACACAGATTTTCTCCACAGCAACAGGAAAGTTTCCACCCATTTTAAATGGAGAGAGATCAATTGGAGCATGCATTTTTTCTGACATCTGTTTTAATGTGTCTTCACTGAAGTTCAATCTTACAGTGCATTTGCACAGAGGGGCAGAAAGAGGTAATTTTGAGTTCACCCCTGCCACTGCTGGCAATGGGACTCCAGAAACCCTTTCAAAAACTGACCATGCTCCATCATTAAAGAACTCAGCCCTTTGTCTCCAGCTTCCTACAGGAAATCTGATTAAAGACTTCACTATCTCTGCCTGCTATTCCAATCCATCAGCCTGGCCACAATGGGGCTGTAAAAAAGCCTTTTCACAGAACTGGTTCTTGTGCAATGGATACCATCAAATGGGGTTACTCCATGCCTTCAGCTGATGTCCCTGAACCTGTCACGTCTCCTGTGCACAGCCTGAAAGGGCTTTTAGCTCAGGACTGAACAAGGTGAGGTTCACGCTCCATTACAGGTGAAGCACCTAGAAATCATCTTCAAAATGTAGCTGAAATATGCATCCATCTAAACTTCTGCCAGAACTGTCCACAAATTTAAACACCATCTTTCTTCTTCTGATGTTTATTCTTCTCAATCCTGTCTTCCTCTTTGCCCACCTCGTTCTTCATTTTGCTAACTTCTGTAGGCGTGTTCTACTAGTCTCTCCTCAAAACCCAGTAAGTATTTTTTAATTTATTTTAAACTTCTAATTATCTTTTCACTTGCCATGCTTGCCTATCTCTTACATCCATTCCAGTGGTCCTCCTTATTTCATACTTGGAATGCTTCAGAGTTTAAAAATATATTTCAAGGTATTTAATCTCTGCTGATTATTTCTGTTTTACACATCACAACATCATTGACTTTCAAGCAACAGCAGAAACACTTAACATTTTTATTGTCAGATGGTAGTCATAGCCTTCATTCCTACACTTCACACCTTTTTCCAATTATTCTCCCTCTCTACACCCTCTCTTCTTTGTGCTCCCCTATGGTTTTCATATATCCAGCTTTATCCCACATTTCCTGTATCTTTCCTACATTTGTTTCACTGCAATTCAATGTCATTCTCACCTCCTTAATGCTGGTCTCAGTTTGATCTTACTAAAAACCATATGCAAACACTGAAGTGCTGACAGCTTCGATACAAATCAATGATCCAGATCGCTGGGAGCACCATCACACTTGAAGAACTGTGTCTGCCTTTCTAGGCACATATGCTTGGGCTACTGCACAAATTTAACATAAAACTGGCTCTGGATAGCTGGCTCTTCTCTATTTTCAGACAACAGACTATTAATGCTGGTTTGCACATCAATCACAGGTATTGGATGCTGGCTTGTGCAATCTCTCCCAGAGCTGTCTGGGAGCAGGCAACAGTTACTGAACACCCTGACAAACAAACAAATGTACCACTGCAGTTCTGGAGCACAGCCACCAGCACCAATTCCAGGAAAAGGATGGTCAGGCTCTTCAGGTCACCTCTACAACAGAGTGAAATCGCCCAGTAAAGGACAATTCAGCTCAGGAGTTTAAGCGGTGTCTTTAATTAGCATCCAGAAGAGAATCTTCTTTCTGCACAGGCTGTAAATGAAACTAAATTGCCTGGCCTCTCCAGGCACAAGGCAGAGGGAAGGCTACTGCCAGTGCTTTTTGTGTAACAGAGCAGTGTGCTGGCACTGAACTGCTCTCAAGGTGACACAGACGGCCCTGCATGTCTGCAGAGCATTCGGCCGCTATCGCCAAGGGGGACGCAGCAAAGTCCAACTAAAGGGAAAACATTAGTGCTTAATGAATCATTTTCCAGTATGAAAATCCTTCCTTTTATTTTGGGCTACAAGGGATTCAAACCCATGCCAAATGGCTCAGTCCTCTCATTTTATTTATTAGCAGTGCATGTTTGAGACGTAGCTGTTTTCTCTTATGTGAGCAGTTTACAATTACATGGCAGTTATATAACAAAGACACTCTGCCCTTTAAAATGCCAGACTTCTTTAGCAAGGCTTTAAAGAGGGGAACATCTAAAACAGAATAACCTCCCAACAAAATACTGAAAACTTTACACAGAGAACTGCTCATGACAAGTATGAAGGAGTGCCTAGGAAAGCTAAGGAAGATACCGGCAATACCAGGAAGACTTGCAAATCCATCAATGGGTAACAGTTATATGCAACAAAGAAAAAAGCAGATGATTTTCCACATATAAATACATTTCCTATACATGAAAAAAGGACTTATTCTGCAATGCCTGCCTTCCCTTTGTAATTGCAAAGAACCTCCAAAATTACTTGTTCCAATTCTGAGAATAGACATAGTGAGCACCTGCTGATTTCTGTGTTCCAAATATTAGAAACAAAACCCTAGGCACCTTTCAAGACTGAAGAAATAGGTTTCTTACCCAGAACTACACAGTGAGGGAGCTAATGCCAAGAGCAGTGTGAGCAGTACCTGTGATCGCCCTTCGGATCTCCCGCGCCGCTTCCTCCCGCATCTCAATGGAGGCTTGCTCACTGTACCAGGCTGCATGTGGGGTACAGATCAGGTTTGGTGCATCCTTCAAGGGGCCCTGACTAAAGCTAAATGAAAATTTAAAACAACATCAAATGACAAAAAAATATTGGGGGGCAAGGGGAAAAGCAAGGTGGGCAATCCTGATGGATTTGTACATACACAGATTAATTTCTACAACACAAAATAATTGCATTTCTATTCCTTATTGAGTTTGTTTATAGTTCTGTTAATTTAATGTATTATTTAGGGTATAAATAAGCAACAATCACTTTTTACAGACTCCAAGGGAGGAACTTAAGTATAGCAGCAACATTAGCTTCTGTCCAATGCACTTACTGTAACTACAGTCACTGCCACTCCAGTTCTGGGGCAGAAATGCATAAAGGAAAACCCAAATTAATTTAGGATGCCATTCCATTTGTCTAGGTCATCACAATTTTATTTTTATTGCATTAACTAACAAAGCTCTTCTCTTTCTGTCAGTATGACATCTAATCATTTAAAGAAAAAAATCTTACAATTATTTCCAAATCAGAGGTGTGTCCATCAGCAGCCTCAATGCTTTTTGGATAATTCAAGTTTTTTTTTTTTTTTTAAATTTTTAGCTTTTTTCCCATTTCTTTCTTTTTTCTTTTTCCCATTTCCCGTTTTTTCTTTCCCATTCCTTTATAGAAACTCCACAGAAAGAAGGAAATTAAGGAAATTTATAGATTGTTTTTTAGGGAAAGCAATGAATCTGTGTAAAAGTGTTATCACAGATACAAAGCAGAGAAACTGAAAATAATGGAAACTTGCTCCTCCTACTCATTTCCAGTTTTAATAATCTTGCAGTCAACTGTAACAGGAGAGCAAATATTTTAAGAGTGTGCTTTCAGGGTTGGTCATAATTCATAAAAGGATAGATTTCATCTGTAGTTCAATAAACATCAAAATATCTGGCAAAACTCTTGAATAAAGAGTGCATGCTGCAATCAGACAGACATGCAGCACTGCAGCCAAAGGAAACTGGCTGTAACCCTGCAGCTGGATCTCTGCACATGGCATCTCCATGCAGGAAATGGGGTTCCTGGGGGGGCACTGGGCTGCTTGTGCACATCCCAGATAGCAACTGGGAAGAATGTATGGAGCTGCAAGTCCCCTGAGCTGCTACACTCTGGCTTTGCACAGCACCACTGCATTGCAATGACTACCTTGAGGAGTAAACGAATCCAGGGTATGTATACAGAAATTTAAGTTTTTGTGATGTGGCATCATGCCTCAGCAGATATAAAATCTGTGACAAAAAGGATATTATTCTATTTTTTCAATGATTTTATTTCCCCCTCAAGCTGGAATGAGAGATACTGTCCTCTCTCCAGTCTTTGCAACCTGCCCTGAATCTGTTCTTCTTCAAAAACTTATGTGGATTGCTGAAGTTCAAAATAACAATTTTCCCTGCCCAGCCTGAAAAAGGCTTGTCACATGCAAGGACTAAGCCACAGCAGTCTGTTCTCAAGCCTCAAGGACATAAGAAACGGGCTCATTTTGATGAGGAGTGCTGATATCTCAATGCCAATGCCACTGAGGGGCGTGGTGCATTTCTGCCTGAAACACTGGACTTAGTCATTCAGAAACTCAGGCTTGTGCTACCAGCCCTGCTGCTGACAGCAGAGTGACTACTCCCCTTACAAAGGGTGAAACAAAATAAAACCTGCACTCTGACAGCCTTCCTGAACCTTTTTTTGCAACCTCTCACACACTTATGGCTTTCCTGCAGAGGCAATCTGGACAAATGTATTTTCCTTCAGAAAGGTGTCATAAAGCACTTCTCACACCACATCTCAACTCTTTGCCTTTGAAAGAGCCTGTTCAGGCATCAGCTGCCTCCAGAGCTGCATCAGTGGCAAAGGTGCACTCTCCTCAAAGCCATGGCCAGGATTTGAACTCAGGTTCCTGTTATTTCTACTAAATAAACCCACTGGCTTTGTTTTAGTTTTCTTTTTAAGGAATTAAATCTTGGATGTCACTTTTTTTACTTCTAACCACACACACAAACTCTATCTACATTTGCATTAGTCCAGTGCTGCACAGATTCATGTTGCTTTGCTAAGGAATATTTAGCTACCAAATAAAACAGAAAACTCAATTTACTTGTTGCTGTTGATTGCATCATGCACTAAGACTTAAAAATAAGAAAGTGAACAAAATAAAAAGAAAAGAAAAGGAAAAGCACCTGAATGGTTCTGACTCATGTACATCTAAGGCTGCCCCTCGTATCCTTCCTTCCTTCAGGGCCTGTGCAAGTGCTTTTTCGTCTACTAACCCACCTCGAGCTGTGTTGACCAGGAAAGCCCCTTGTCTCATCTAGGGAAAGTTAAAAACAAGAATGATGAAATAAAAATAAATGAAATAAAATCGTTGTGGCATTATTTTTTTACTCAAAAGAAGCATCCATTACAACAAAGGCTTTTCAGCTGGTTTAAACTGTAACAGTTGTCTTCCCTTTCCATTGGAAAGTACCACCAAATGTGATGCTTCTAACATAAAATGCTATTTCACAGCACTTAATAACCTTTTGTTTCTTGTAAGTAGTGTCTTTTAATAGAAGCCTTGTTTCAGATATTGTGCAGTAACATGATCAAAAGGTACAACTGTGCATATGAAAGTGACAGATCATTTTATGCCTTTTTATTTCACTGTGAAATTGCATGAGACAGAAACTACAGCACATTCTTAAACAAATTCATATTTTGTGGCTTTCAACTTTCACACAAATAAAAGCCTACATGAATTTTTCAGAAAAATCAATGCTTTTGGATTTTCAAACACTTTTCCCTTTAGCTGCCAAAACACAGTAGATGTATGCATTATTTATTTTTGTTACTTCAGCTTCCTCCTCCCCTGTGAGACTTCTCAAATAAAGGTCTAAAGAATCCTTCTATTATTCAATTAAAAGGCATGAAAATGAATTTGGTTGAGAACGCCGTGTGCCCAGGAGAGAAGCTGTGCTGTGCATTGTGCAGATTAGCATTGCAGATGACACCACCATCAGTATGGGGAGAACTACAACAATTTACACCATAATACATCCACAACTTGAAAACAAAGTGGCAGTTTAAATAAGAGAAATGGTACTGAAATAAACATAAATTACAACATCCTGCTTCCAGCCACCCTGGTATTTCATCTTTGACAGATGTCTCAACACCTCTGTGCATGAAGGAACGCACACGAAGGGCAGGAACCATGGAGAAGATGAATAATGGAAATCTCATTTTGTACCAACTCCCTCTCAACACAAAAATATGCAAACCCCAACATTCTGACACCAACTCAGCTTCATGAAACCTACACATCAAACTAAACCTTAGGTAAATGGATCCTTACACTCAAATATTGATTCAAAATGCCAATTTCACCAACAACAAGGAGGTTTGAATAAGTCAGTTTTGGTTGGGTTTTTTTAATGAGGTCATACAGAATATTAATATGCACATGCTTGCAGTGTTTTATAAAGAAAGAACTCACCATATTTTACTGGCCAGCTCTCAGGTTTAATGTGGCCCTGCCCCTCTCCACCTGCAGGCTCCTGGGCCTACAGGAGATCCATCCACACAGCAAAACCCAACTCCAGTTACAGGGGCAGAACTAAAGGATGCTTCTCCCAGCTTTGTGTGATTAATTTGGGAATGAGAACAGCACAAAAACTGGGGCAGGATCTTAAGCTGCTCTGGTAACAGGAGATTCCTTATGGGAACCATCAGTGCCCCTCCAGTTCCCGGGTCAGCTGTGGGAACTGCACAAAAGCAGCACAGGTGCACCCTCACAGCTGTGCAGACACACCACAAAGGTTTGTGGGAGCTCATACACCCTTCCCATTCCTGGGCAAACTGCTAACTGCAGTTGTAAGTACAGCTTGGTGTATTTACAGGCCCTCTGAAGGACATGAACATCTTACTTAAAGTGAACCCTGCTAAAATCTTCTGTCCAATCTGTCCAACAACCTTGCTTGAGTTTTCATTTTAGGGCTATTTACAAAACTCCAGAACCAGCACTAAGACACTTTCAAATCAAACAGAACATGACTGCATAAATGCATTCTAGAGGGAATGAATTGTGTGACTCATGATAAACTGTCAGGGTGGATGCAGCTGGAGATGATCCCTAACAATGGGTGGAAGCTTGAAAGAGCTTCACAGCTGGAACTGCTGACGTCTGGTAAATTCACCTGCACTGAACCTGCAGAGCTGCTTTATAAAAGCGCTGTGTTTAAACTGCAGTTTTTTCTCCAATCTGTGTAACTAAAGATGACCTCAGTCTCTCAAGAGCACAAGTTCATTGAAACACTTCTCTGAGCTGCTCTGGGACTCCAAGGACAAGCAGGATGGCTTTACAGAATAATGATAAATTCACTAGAAAAGTTACTTAAGAGAACACAGACACCAAGTTTTCAAAGACACTTGAAGTGTATGTCAGTTCAGACTCCACAAAGTTCAGGGTGAGACTTCAGTGAAATGAGATGCACCACACTTCTCTGTACTCTGTTTAAAAGCTGGTTATGACATGAGCATGCAGTATTGGACAAGAAGGGTATGCAATGCTCTCTAGAAATTCCAGGCCAACTCCAGCATCTGTCAGCCTAAATCAGAATATGCTCTACACAAATAGTGCAGTCAGAGGGTTACAATTTCATGGGTTTCACATCCACTTTACTATCCAGACTGCCTCACCCAAACTCCTACCCAAAGCAAGAACTATCATCTAGCACTTTAATTAATCCTTGCTTTGATCATGAAGGATAACAAATAGGAAGATAAATGCTTACTTAAGATACTTTCCAGTGCAGAGTTTATTACAGGCATTTCATTTCAGATGGCATTACTCAGTTTTAACATGTTTTCCTTTGTTTGTTTCTCTGATTAATGCGCTGTGCCTTCTCCAAAGCTCAATACATTTCTCTGCCTCCACTCAAAAACTTCCTGTGGTGAGTTGGCCAAAAGTTCACAACTGCTGTGGAATAAAGTGACCAATGCTCAGTGGTCCCATGGAATTCAGTGTGATGCTTTCTGGTTTGATGTCTGCTTGAAAAGACATCTCACTATGTAATAACCACCGAATGTACCCAGCCATACAACAGAAGACAATATTCAAGGCAGGGTGACAGAGCTCTGGTTTCTTTGGTTTCATTTTAAGCTTCTCAATTTTTTAGAGTTTTAAATTCCAAATCCTGATTTTATGTTGTGATGGATTTGCAAAATCCCTAAACTCTCAAATGAAGAAGTGTGTTGTACTGTCAGTTTTGTGCCATGATCCTAACGACTGTGGAACATGCTCAGTAAGTTCTGAAGTTCTAAAGTTCAAGAATAGTGGGTACAAACTATTTCTCAGAAGACAAGCAATGATTTTACTGCAAAGGAGTGCTACTGTCATTGTTGCCAACATATAAACCCACTATATATAAAGAACAGCCAAATCAATATTCCATCTTAGGGTTTCTTTACATTGACTCCATTCTTATGTCTCAGAGTTCTACTTCTGGCTGTTACCTACACTAAAGCTGGAGTCAAACATTTTCATTAAATGTCTGGCTTCTATTATGAAATTTTTCAACAATGGAGCAGTTACTGCACCCAGATTTTGAAATTATTTTATTACTTTGTGTATTACCTATAACTTTATGGAGAAGTTGGTACTAATTCCAAGAAACATTATTTTTCCCAATAATGCAATGCTGTAAATGAGCTCCATCCAGGAAGTGCTCTGTGAGCATCAGGACTGAGCACAGGGGGGAGCCATTTAGTCATAATCCTTAAATTGCATCAAAGGAACTCAAACTGAGGGACAACGGTGAAAGGCAGATTTGCCACCCGAAAATACACATGTAAAGGAAGGAGCTACTACAAGACACAGAAAAAGTGCTTTTACATCAATGCCACTTCATTAAATCTCAGTGATATTAAGAAGAGCAAATTATTTCCACAAATGCAATGTTACTGAGCCAAAAAGACAGTAAAAGCAACAATACATAAACAACCAGCTAGTTCCTAATCAATTATAGGCCTGTTTGATCTCAGAGCAGCAGAAGAGAAATATTTGTATCAGATGAGAATCTACCTGCTTACAGCAATAAACGCTATACAGAGCTGGCAAGCAGCACAGATGGAGGCACCCACAGAGAGGGTTACCTGCTTTATGGTGAAGTCGTTGATGAGATGGTGGTTGTGCTCGTTCAGGTTGCAGTGCAGGGTGACACAGTCACTGTGGAACAGCAGGTCCTGCAGAGTGCTCACGCGCTGCAGCCCCAGCGCCCGCTCCATGCCGTCCGACAGGTACGGGTCATAGAAAATCACACTGAAGCCAAAGGCCTTGGCACGGAGAGCCACCGCCTGCCCCACACGCCCTGCAACAGACAGACACCGTGAGAGCAGCTGGGAGGCAGCTGGTGGTGTGAGGGGGCCTCTCCTGCCCAGTGGGATCCTTGTATCCAACCATGACACTTTGTGCAGCAAGGGCAGAAAAGGGAGGTGTCTCCCCATCCCACTCAGGTCATGACTGGGATCAGCAATGGCACATCTGGGCTGCTTGACACTGCCTTGGAACAAAGAAAAGGGAAGTGTCTCCCCATCCCACTCAGGTCATCACTGGGATCAGCAATGGCACATCTGGGCTGTCTGACACTGCCTTGGAACAAAGAAAAGGGAGGTGTCGCCCCATGCCACTCAGGTCATCACTGGCATCAGAAATGGCACATCTGGGCTGCTTGACACTGCCTTGGAACAAAGAAAAGGGAGGTGTCTCCCCATGCCACTCAGATCATCACTGGCATCAGAAATGGCACATCTGGGCTGTCTGACACTGCCTTGGAACAAAGAAAAGGGAAGTGTCTCCCCATGCCACGCAGATCATCACTGGCATCAGAAATGGCACATCTGGGCTGTCTGACACTGCCTCGGAACAAAGCAGGAGCTTTGCACCTTTTGTCACCAGATGTGTGGAATGCCAGAAGATGTCACGTAATCTGCAATAATCTGCAATGCAAGGCTTGCCTGCTGGGCCTGGTTATGGCAAAACACCACTGCCTGTGAGCACATCCTGCCAAGGGCTTATCCTTACCCCTGTCAAACCAGCTGGCTTTAATAAAAAGCCATAAAATTAATCCTCAAAAATGGGTGCAATAACAGATAATTCGTTTAACCTGAAGCACAACCATTCTCAATACATGGAATCTCCTTTCTGGTATTTTTTTTCATTTTGAGGAACATCCTTTCAGCATTAAAATGCCTACAAGAATCCTGTCATCTAAGGCTTTAAAATAAATTCTATTCAGCTACCTGAATAATAAATAAATAAAGTTGGTCATATGGCATCTAGCTAAGAGGACTGCAGTCCCACTGGGAATTGACACTGAACTTTGCTTTTTTGTTCCACTTCCCTTACTGTCAGATTTCAGAGCTGCATGGGCAGGACTCCACGCCACAGTACCAGGAGGTGTGTACTTCCCTTTGACACACTACCAGTAAAACAGAGAGGGAAAAACCCTCTGAGCACATCTAATGAGTTACAGGCATTTTGAAGAGTGAGAACTAACACACTTTCCAAGTTAGAAGTTTACAGACCAGATATTCACATTGGAGCACTGCAAATGTTGGATAAAGATGTTTCAAAAGCATCACTTGATGCACCATAATAACAATGCCTAATTTGAAAAACAAACCCAAAAAAAGTCAACAAATTTTCCTTTGTAATGTCTAAGTTTGTTCAAAAAAGCATCAAATCAACCCAGGGAAATCCCATCTCTTTCCAATTGTGCTTGAAGGGATTTCCCTCTGCTTTTCAGTTTCTCTTTGAATAAACTTCAGAAGCCACAGGAAGAAAGGTTTTTGCTGATCACTTAATGTGAACACGGCAATTCTGCAGTGCTTAGTGACAGATGTGCTTGGAATATTAAACAGTATATCAATGTGACAGGGGCTGTCTGCTTTTCTTTGGGGACACCAGGTTAGAATCCTCCTCAAAATCTTTCATTTCAACACTTGCATGCATGTTATTTGTTTGCTTTCCAGGCTGTTTTTATAAATTTGAATTAGAAAATTTTCAACACAAACACTGTATTGTTTCCAAATTTTGGCATGTTCACAGCTCAAGGAATCAGTCACACAACTGTAAATATTTTTCTTTTTTTTTTTTTTTAACAAAGCATATAACTGTTACTCCAGCTCCATTCATTTTCACATGCAACATTCTGACATCTGTTCTTTTTTTTTTACACTCTTTACAACACTAATACCTGAGGGGATTCACAACAGCAAAATCTCTTACAACAGCCTCTCCAGTTAAAGCTACACTTCATTCACCCCACCCAGGCTAATAAACCAAAGCCTTCTTCAATGGGCACAGAAGTTTCCTTCAGAAACACCAGGGAATCACATCTGTATTTTTAAGCAGAATTATCCTATTACAAATATTTTATGGGATAAGACTCTTCTGCAACTGACAATTCATATTTAGTCTTAGTCATTAAACAACTACACAATTGGACATAAGGAATTTGCCAATTTCTTTTTAAATTGCAGTCTGACATAAAGAACAATCACAAAACTACGACTTTCTTTTTTTCTTTCCTGAAAACCCTCTATTGTACAAGACTCTCCTGGGCATGAGGGGTGGTTCAAAACCTACCTCAACACACTGAGGACAATACAGCACACAAAGCATCCCACCTTTGGGACAACTCTATGGTAGGAGCATATCAAATTGTTATGAATATTCATGGCTGCTTCCAGGGAGAGCAAAATCTTAAGCTTAAAACCTCAATTGATTAGTTGGCAGTGTGAGAAAAATGCAGAAAATGAAAGTTGCATACAATTGCAAAAAAAGCAGAAAGCAACAAAAGTGTATTTTCAAGGAAATCAAAGTTCTAGCAAGGTCCATTCATCATTTCAGAAGATCTCCTGTTACAGCCTCATCCATTCGACTCCCCCACAAGTCTCCCAACTCCCCTCGACCCAAATGCCCCAATTTACAGGTGTGACTGACCTGAGTGTGACAGTGCAGCAGCTGCAGGTCAAGGACCCTGCTCAGCCCCTGGCCAGTGCACACTCAGCCTCTGCTGGTATTGCAGAGTTTTATAAAGTGACCCTGGTACCATGAAATGATGATGATAACCTGCCTGAAGACTTGCATGGAAAGAAAAAGTGCTTTCACTTAGCAGCTGTTCCCTGCCTGTGCAACAGCAGTGGAGAATGTGGGTAATGTTTCCTCCTGTTGGAGAACTCTGAAATGTGGAGAGGGCTGTCCTGCTACACTTCCTGCTGAGCACATTAAGAGAGCCAGGAGGACGGCTAAGAGTAGATCATTTACTGCAGAGTAATACCACCCAACTCTTAAGCCTTATTTACTTATAACACAGGTTAGTAGTTTGGCCAAGCATCTAGGCAGGGCAGTGGGACTGCTGAGAGAATAGAGCAGGTGAGGAAAGACAAACTGAGTGATGACATTCACTGTGATGTGGAGACAAATTTATTTAAAAGAATTTCACCTTTCTTGGGTGAGGAAATGCATTAGTCATCAGCATTTCTCACTGAGAAGGAAGGGAAAGGGATTGCAACTTCACTGCTGTAAAATTATCATTAGAGCAGAACCAGGGCCAGATGTCTATTCAGCCAAGTACTTACATGCTGCTGCTGATAAATATTCCTCCTTAAAAAAACCCACAAACCTCCATATTTCTAGATACAAGGTGAAAAGGCAGCTTTTTTTGTTTTCTTTTCTAAATGTGGGACTTACTATCCACACTTGTGATGCAACACTTAAAATGTAGGACACTGGACAGTAATAAAGATTAAAAGTGACAAAGACAGCTGTTAATTGATGTGATATTATTATTTATGTAAAGCTCAAAGAGTCAGACACTTCACAAAGACAGAAAGAGGCAAGGGCCGTGCCCTGAGGAGCTCAGGGGCTAACCAAACAACACAACAATGACGGATGGGCTCCAACAAGCACATGAAGGAGGCATTATGCTATTGAGTCCCTGCTTATCTTCAAGCTCAATACAAGCAGAGGATGAGAGATGGGGTTAACTTTAAAGGAGGAACACAGAGTAATAGGATTAAGCAGGACAGACCAAGTGTCAAAGCAGGAATATGCATGAGAGCAGGGAGAGAGAGTGGGTGATGGAAGGAAGGCAAGTGAGTCACGAAACTTGGCTAGATCAGTGGATAAGGAAGTGAGTGGCTGAAACTCTGGAGACACAGTCATTCCCCAGCACAGAGATGGGCAGGAGCTAGGGTGTTTCTCTTTGGCAAGGAGTAAAGCCCAGGAGCAGATGTTGAGAAGGTCTGCAGTTAGCTGTTGCAGCAGCGGTGATAAACTGAAGCAACCCACTGCTGAAGAGAGCACAAGTTCTAAGACAAGAACAGACAAACACAGTTGTGGCTGAGAGGAGATGATCTCAGACACACACTGAGGACAAAGGACAGAAACTGAGACACCACACAGAAACAGAGCAAAGGGCCGAGCAACAGATGATGAGAACTGTTTATTTTGTGTGTAATACATCCACTTTGTAGCATCTGGGTGGATCATCACTTCTGACACTGACATGCCTAAATAATAAACTGAGGCAAAACTCCAGATGTGGGGAGAGGCCACTAGTGAAGAAACACCACCTAAGGACAACAGTCTCTGGGTGTAAAGGCATGTTTGAGTCTGAAACTCAACACAGCTAACCTCTAGCAGTGAGCTGGACTAGAAAAGGGTGCACATCACAGCCTAAGTGCCTGAAGTGCTCACACAGAAATTCTGGTACATCTTCTAAGTCCACATTTTTACTCTTCATTAATACATAGATTCAGAGGAGTTTGTTAGAACAGGTCTGACTCAAACTGTTGTGCCTATTCACACACATGCACAAGAAGGAAGAGGGGAAGTTTTCAAAAGTGACTTTACAATTTAGTATTCTTTGAATATTCTATGGTAGGAAATAGATTGGAACAACACAAGGCTAGAGATAATGACTGGTCAAAAACTACAACAGAAGCGTGCCCTTAAAAATCAGATTTTACTAGCCTTTTTAGTGTAACATGCACACAAAAGGCTTGCTTTTTACAACTACAACCAAAACCTAGCATTTTGTAAAGCTTTATAGGCATACTGGCAATCTGATTACCTATTTATTCCTCTATACTTTTCAGTCATTGAGAACAAAACCAGCAAAACTCACTTAAGGAAGTCAATGATGAAAGAGTTTTTCTTTCTAATCTCAAGTCTGAATTTGTTCAGTAAAAACACCAAACTGAATTACAGCAGTACAGATATCTCCAGCAAACATGCACACTGCATGTGAGCCAAAGCTTAAGTTTCAAAAACCAGGTATGCATTTCCATTTTGGGAACACTGCAGGCAACTGTCTATGACTTAGGTACAGATGCTGTGACCGTGAGCACAATAATCATTGTGTGTTTTAATGAGATGCATAATTACGTTAGTATAGATTTGAGAAAGCAGCTTCATGTCATGACTAACTTCTTGAAAATCATATTTTAAAGGCAATTCTTTGGTTGTGAAGATGGTTCTGGTGTACTGCATGCTCGTTTAAATGAGCACTATGTAACACCAGGCTATTTTCAGCTTCCAAAAGTAAGAGTTCGAGGCTGGAGTTACTTGACAGCAATGTGTAACTGGAGCAGTCATTTAAATATGATGCTTTGTTGTCAAAATCATATTACTAATTCCTGTGGATGAATAGCACAGCAATTACATCCACAGTCTATCAGATCTGTGTAAGACAAGCACATGACTGAATAATTTTTATATAGAAACTGACTTGCTTGTTTTTCTTCTCTACTCCTGTAACAGACAGTAATTAATTCATCTCTAGCAAGCCTGTCCATCTGCTGGATGCTGAAAAACATTTAGGGTCACTCAGAGAGGTAAGTAGGTGATTTTATTAGGTCTGGAAGCATTTCAAAATTTCTTGCATATATTCTTCCTCTCATTAGAGTTGAAATACAATTTCACATTCAGCTCAATCAAATGCACACAAGAACTGCTCTGCAGGGTGTTACCGAAGCCAAGACTTTTTAGTTATGTAAAAAACTGAAAAAGGAAGAAAGTCCAAACAAAATCAGATATGAAAATGGATAAGGGATAAAACATACATGTAACAGGGCTGAAGTAGGAGGATTCTTGTCCTGGAAAAGGGAAGTGATGGTGTCTCCTGTTACAAGTAGGCAATATGGCAACAGAAAGATGCTGCCATCTTATTGCAGGGCTTCCATACTGTTGTCTCCTTATTGCAAAAGTTTCATACCTTCTTAGTGCTTCTCATGGGCAGCTCCTCCAAGCATTGACTCTTACTCTTTCACAAAGCACCCAACTGACCCCAGTTCCCTTCTCGCCCAGCCACCCCACTCTTTTATACACTCTTCTTCTCAGTGCTTACAGCTGTGGCCTGTTAAAGTCAGGCCTGTTCCTAATCTCTGATAATTGGCCCAGCTGCAACTCCTTAGGGGTAAGATCACTGTCTAGACTATTGTATTTTCTTATATTCTATCCCTCTACAGAAAGACATACAGAAACTCAAAGAAATGAGAGAACATTAAAATAAGTTTTCTGAGGAAAAGGGAGAACATTAGAGTTATATAATCTACGGGAATAAACGCTTGCCACGGAGTGACCAAACGTTCCATTTCTACAGCTCCAATCCTCCCTTTTCAAAGCAATGGCAGCAAGGAGCACGAGAGCCCCCGTGAGGAGAACGTACCCAATCCTCCCTTTTCAAAGCAATGGCAGCAAGGAGCACGAGAGCCCCCGTGAGGAGAACGTACCCAGCCCGATGATGCCCAGCGTCTCCCCTCGGATGCGGGCCGCCCCCGAGGCCACCTCCCGGATCTGCTCCACGCTCTGCACGCGCGTGCCCTCGCGCAGGGCCTGGTGCAGCCAGGTGGTTCTCCTGTACAGGTTCAGGATGTGGCACATGGTGGAATCCGCTGTCTCCTCCACGGAGGCGGCTGGCACGTTGCACACGGCGATCCCTGCGGGCGGCAAGGACAGGAGGCCAGTTGCCAAACAAATTCATTTCTTCCATTTAACAGCAATACAGGAGCGTGATGTTTGAAGCCAACACCTATTTCAACATGTCTTGCACAAATACTGAGCTTCTGACTGTAATGGCAGGCAGAGTACCTGACATAATAGTTGACAACTATGTGCCAACTTATTTCTCTGATTTTTTTATTACTAATTATCATGCTTTTATTTTATCATGCTTTTAATTTTTATTGCAAACTAAGACACTGAATCACATAAGGAAAGCACTGAAGATATCTGTTTAGAACACGGTAAGCATTTTACATTTCCACTGAGCTTGGTGCTTTGAATAACCAAGAGAAACCTGCCTTGCTCTCAACAGTGTGGTCAATGATCAGAGTTTAGGTTTAATTGTGAGTTAGCCTTCCACCACTGGACAAATACCTTCCCAAAACCTATCTGTGCAAATTAAAAAAGGATAAAATAATTTATAAAGCCTTCACAGGACAACTGTTAGTAATTCCACATCATGTGTAGGTAATCATGATACAGGGAAGGACAATCTGTCACACATTGCACAGAGGTTTTTAGAATTACAACAAACCACACCCCAGTCCTTTTTTGGTCCCCCACATTAAAGGGAACCCATCTAATCGTCAATAGGAAAATGCAAAATCTGCTTCTCCATGGCATGCAAAGGTAATGACAAATAAGTCCATGTTCCTAACAGCTGAAAAGTCACCAGCTGAAACTAGCATAACATCGAGCAGCCTAAATTGTTACAGCCATAGAAAAGTTTGGAAGGTGGATTATTGATTCAAGACTCACAATAAGCCTATTTTACTTCAAAAACAAAAGCAACAAGTGATTGTAACTACATGCAAGCTATACCATTCTGCTTTTTACCTCCCAGTACTCAACAGACAGTGGTTAAGCAAAATGCTTGAAAAACTTTGTGTCCTTTTGGACTTGTCTCTCTTCAGTCTTTCCATGTACTGCATGTTCTCTCTCTAATCACCAGCTCCCACAAATGTTTGTGTCTCAGTTCCGCTGACTGAGACAACAAACAGCACGCAGTATAATTTCATGGTGGAGAAGAAAAAAAAGTGTTTCGTATCCTAAAAACACCCAAGAACTGTTTTTACTGTTTGGGATTTTACATAACTAGATATTCAGTAAGTCCTCAGCTAATGCCAGAACATCTTAAGAAGCAAAGAAGAAGAATAAACATTCTCTTCAAAAATATGACAAATAATAAGCTCATGCTATATTTATCTGTTTTACATTCAAATGCCTTTATTCTGCTGCCCAGTACTCTTTTACAGCTTTCTCTACATCCCTAAAAACCTGCACAAGGAACTTACAGCACTATTTTTCTTTCCTCTGCTGCAGAGATAAGCCTGTCTGCTGAGTCACTGCCCTTAAGACTTACAAGAAGATATACCAGCATCATTTGCTGGAATATTCATCTTGGCATCCTGCTAACATCAACGGTAGAAGGAAATTCACCATTTTTAGAATGGGGAAAAAAGCTTGACTGGGAGGGAGATGAAAGACTGAAAAATAACATCCCTCTAAGTACCTCACATTAAACACTTGCATTTGTTTATACAAAAAAAGTCTTTCATGGAGCAACAATGCAGGTTTTAGATGGCAACGTAAATTAAATAAATGTGTCTCCTAATAGCTGCCATCAACAAAATTATGCTTTAAAAGGAGCTTAAAGAATTATATTATGTATTTGGGAAGAAGAGCAATATACCTTCTTCCCTAATAGGTTTCCTTAGGAAACTGAGGGAACAAAAGTCAGATAAATTCTCTCCTGAACAGCAGGAATTTATTTTTCTCAATTTTTCTTCAACTCTAAAAGCACTCATTTTTGAAAGGCAGAGATATAGCAAACCACAAAAAGCAGCAAGAGAGAGGCAAGGAAATGAAGAGACATTTCACATGGGAAAAGACAGCACACTCTCATCTCATATCCACTGATCAATGCTCCCTTCCCTTTCCCACTGCTTTCAGTGATTTTGTGCACAGGTTCAATGCTGAAAAAAGCAGGTGGTAACAGGCATTACCTGGCTCCCACTTCACTGGCATTCAGCTACACCCACAATTGTATGTATTTTCTAGTCAACTATTAATAAAGTGCAGAAAAAGCATGTTTTATCCAAGAAACACATATTTTCATGCTTTGTAAGAAGATTAAAAGTGCTAATATAAAATAATGCTTAATAGGAAAAGCTGGTAACAAACCCATGTGCCAGCTCTACGAAAAATAAGAAGTTACTACAGAAGTTCAGGAATACATTGGACTCTGGTCTAAATCTACATTTCAAAAGCAAATCAAAGCCTTTTATAAAGAGCAAATCACTCTCACATTACCTCCTTAAGATTTGCATTACTTACACCAGTTCAACAAATGGAAGGTTCTTTGTCTCAGTAATGTTTCATCCCAGCCATTTCACCCAAACTTAATATTAAAATCAGAGATTTTACTGGAATCTTTCCACCATTTACTGGCTTTTGACAGAGTGGACAACAATATTTTGTAAATTAAAGGATACACAACCATGACCCTTAACTTTATAACTCAGTCTAACACAAGACAGGAACTGAGTAATAAGGAAGGTGGCCATTCAGCATTTCATATGAACAAGAATTTCCCAAATCTGCTGTGTACTCTAGCTTGAAGAATTATGTGGCTGCATTTAGGATGTAACCTGGGTTACAAGCCAGCACAGAGACCTGCAGAAGAGACAGCCAGCAAACCTTCAAAGATCTTCCCCTTATCAGGGATTTTCTCCACAAACCGGGCTCCTGACTGGTCTGAGCTTTGATCTGCACCTACAGTTTGGCTTTGGATCTAGGATTCTACCCCAGGCCACTCTCTCCACACACACAGGTTTTTTCTGAGGCTCACAACACATGTCTGACTGTGGCACCAGCTAAAGCAGGCAAAACACAGCCTTGCCCCCTGTCAGCCCTGACCTGGCCTTCATAAAACTCAGCAAGGAGCGGTTAAGGCTCTGCCACCATTACCACAGGTGAATATTCTTTTACCATTAGCTGACAAACAGACCACACTACAGCTCCTCACCACGTCACTGGGGCTATTGCTAGGACTCAGCACTGCCACACTGAAATAAATGTTTCCAAGATCTTTCCAGAGCAGAATGGGAAACATACTTGGTCTCCACAATCTTGGAAAAGAAAATCTTTACTCCAAGTGGTCTGACCTGACCTTTAGATTACAGATAGGAGGTAGTTTAACCTAAAGACAAGTACAGATGAGATAGTTGCTTTTCTTACAGTCAAACATCAAGCACCACCTCTTCATAGTTCCAGTAGCTGAATTTATTCTGAAGAAGTAACAACTGATTCTCCTACAAAACTGGTATTTCTATTTTATGGACTGGTTTAGTACTAAATCTCATGCATCATAAATAAGTCTCAGACAGTTGATAATGATCTCATTTTTTATTCAAACAGAAGTAGTATGCCAAAATGATGGAATTATATTTTGTAATTAGATTACAGCAGAAGTAGTTAAAATATACAATTGGGGTAAAAAAGAAAGAGATGAAAAATTATGGCCTTTCTCCTTGGGTTTATATTGAGCAGGCAGATTGTCATCCTGCCACAAAGCTGTTAATATTATCACTTAATTAACTAATGCTAGTATCTCCATAATGAGTTTTATACTCTGATGGGAAAATTATACAGCTTACATATGATAGTAGTATAAAATACACAGAACACATTAATACAAAGATTTAGATGCTATCAGATTTCTAGAGGCAAGTATAAGATGCAAAATAAAGTCTGTAATAGCCATACCTAAATCTCCAGCAGATTTGATGTCAATATTATCAAAACCACTGCCAATTCGGACAATTATTCGAAGTGCTTTAAATTTCTCCAGGTCTTCTCGAGTTAAAGTTATAGTGTGATACATCAGGGCACCCACTGCTTCATTTAGTACCTAGAAATTAAATGAAGAAAAAACAATTGGCTTTTTTTTGCTTTCACAGAATCTCAGCTTAATCTCATACACATATTCTCAAGTATAAAAGACAGTAAAAGCATTAAATACAGATTCAGGGGTTTTTTTAAAGGTTACTTTTCTAAATATCTCTTGGTAAGTCTTTTTCATTTAAGTCTCCACTCTAGCATGATGGGATCAGGTTCCAAAGAACTACATGATCTGTACTTGTGTTCTCAGTAAGAGGAAAAGCTCTCCTCATTGCCCAGGAAATGCTCTGCACTGCTGACCCCAGCCCAAGTGCCACTGGATGCATCTGCACACACAGAGCAAACACTCCCACAAACAGGGAGCATTTCATGCCTAGGCAGCTGATATTCAGCTCTGAACGGAGGAACAGAGCAGAGTCTCTATACAGGCACCCACTGCCCAATTAAACCACTGCACACCTGAACAGAAAACATTCAGCGACCACAAACCCCTCTGACAACAGACTGAAATTGGTCACTTCACACACAAAACCAAAAGTGTTTGCCCCTCAGTTCACTGACACTGCAAATAAGCTCTCACTGACAGAAAACTGGATGTCACATAAATTGGTATTAACTGAGATGCCAAACTTGACATTATCCAGGAAAATCCAAAGCCTCTGAGAAATGAGAAATTGCACGAAAGCAAAAATGCTGCAGAAAAAACCCCCAAACTTGTGAGAGCACCAAAAAAGCAAAAATAAAAGAGTCAAATTAACAAATTAAATTATGTTAGAGTGCATCCAACCCACACAACAGCACTTAAAACCAAGAGGTGTGGAGTAAGGAGAGGGAGAAGGGGTGTGGAGAATGGAGCCAGACCTGCCCCAGCAGTTTTGAATTCTGCTACCCAACAGTGACACTGCACCCCACACAGGTGATATCAATTTATTTTTCACACAGCAGAGAGTATTTTCCTCTTTATCTGCAAATTGCAGGATTTTACTTCTTCAAAACACTTCCCTGTGCTTGCACCTTCAATGCTCTAGCTAATATCCTAATGGTTCTACAAGACACAAAACATGCACCAATCATTTCAGCAGCTAAGCCAGCTGTAATGAATTCAAGAGATTCCTATGACACACTTCACATAAAAGTTCTGCAGAGGCTCTTAATTTCTTTTGCAGACTTTTGGGTCTGGTACATGCACAGATTCTGTCATCTGGATTATTTCTGCTCATAGGAGCATTTCCTAGTGCAGTGCAAGGTCAGTAAAAATAATCAACATACATAATTTTTAAAAAAACCATTGCAGCAAAGCAGAGTCTTGCACACAGAGGATTACAACTGCTGGAACCAAGGATCTGCAACAGCGTTTAAAAATACATAAAGAAAAAAATTAAAGAAAATAAAATCAAACCCCATAAAAAATGAAAGAAAAGCACTTATTACTGAATACTTCACAAAATTATTTATGCTATTTTAACATTGTTTCTGGACTGAGAACTTCAGTTCTAACTCAGATAAAGACAAGATTCCTTTGAGCAGAATTTGCATTTACTAGTAAGAACTGCAAAAAACATTACAAATTACACATCCTTCAAGAATTCAGCTACAACATAATTCAAAGACCAGCTGTAGGCTCAGATCTTATAAAATGATTACACACACACAAAACTCCTTGATTTTAATGGTGCAAACAAGTCCTTTGGAGACAGCATGCAGCAGCTCCCAGTCAGAAAGACTGCACTCACAGGATGTGTTACCTTGAGCTGTTACACAGGGCTAATAAAAACCCAACACAGTTTTTGGGTTTGCTTTTCCAGTGACATTGCAGCTGGCATGGACCAAGCCTGGGGTATCCCACACAAGAACCAGTCTCTCTTAGGAAAGGAAAGCCCACCTAAACGCCCTCAGGTTATTTCTGCTCCCACTAGCGGCTGAAATAAAACTGTTCAAGGATCTCCCAGCCTCAGTGTGTGGAAATTTCTTCAAATTCAGTTGCAGCACTTGTTGCTTCAAGCCTCAAGGTCAAGTTAAGATACCCTGGCTATCTCCAACAAGCCATGTCCCCTGCTCTGTGCTGCACCGCTTACCTTCCCCACCCCTCCCAAGGGCTGTTGTGGATGCTGGGCTGCAGCAGAAACCATCCCCTGTGCGGCTGTCAGATAAGCAGAAACCGAAGCTCAGAATCACAAGGACACACCCCTGAGGCTGTGATGCCAGAGCCTCTCCCAGGCTGGAAAAGGCCCGTGGTGGGTGTGCTCTGGGGGTACATCAAGGACTGCATCCAGCAGGGCTGAAGCACAGCTGAACTGGCTCACACATTCGGGCTTTACAATCAGTGATTCACTTTGGGAGGCAGATTTGCATTTCATAACCATGCATATTTTATTAACCCAGCCAGTCTAGACTGGCATTTGGACTCCAAGAGCACTGGTGTGGACCCATTATGACACAGTTTTTGGGCTCATCTAAGTTATGGCTTGGCACTAGGAGGAGACAGAAAAGTACTGGAAAGCTTGGGAATGTGTTCAATAAAAGGGAAAATATTTCCTAGCTATAGCTTAATGCTGACACTAGCCGTTTCCACAGGCAGTTATTTACCCATCACATGGGATATGGAACAAGCAAATGCAAGTGACAAATCTCTCAGAATTTCTTTTTAGTGACTGAGCCTCTCCTAGGATTATGGGCTAGTTAGCAAGGAAATCCACTGCTAAAATTGTAATACCCTGCAAGTGTGTTTTATCACATTAATTTGATAATTTAATTATGTTACTGCCTTTTGCTACTGGACACATGATAGAAATCTGCCAAAAAGGCAAAAAATAGTAGCAGAAAACCTGAAGTTAGAAACATCCAGCACTGGTGAATGTTAATAATGCCACTTAGATATAAAAAAACAGTGAAACTTTCTGTATTTTGGAATTATTTGCATAAATCATGTTCTCAGTCATTACATATATTATATGCACACAAGAAGTCTGACAAGTCTTACAATGAGTAAAATATAACACATGAAACTGATATCCAGCATAAATATCAACAATTCCACAAAATGAAGTGATCTTTAGAAAAAAATAACTGTGCATAAAAGTAATTCACTGATGATTTAACAAAAGGGATGGATGCATTGCGAAAATCAGGGAGAATAAGTAATTTTTCTCCATCATTTTCCATAACGAACATAATTTTTAACGAATTCAAGAACAATTTTTTACAAGGAGATCAAACTTGTGAGCGAGATAGCAGGCAAGAAATTCCAGAGCAGCCTGAGTATGTGGCAGTCAGACCACGCTCTCTGATGATTTCTTGCAAGGAAAGGCAATGGAAAAACCTGAGAGGAAATGGGCAGAGTCAGCTGTGCTGCTCCAACAGCCACCCCTGCTTCCATCACCCTGCACTGGGCCCTCTGGGAGGAGAGGATCCGAGGCAAAGGCTGAAAAGGGGACATGAGCTGGGCTCCTTCTGGTGCCCAGTTATTATGGAGCTCACCTGCCTGATTTCTGTGCCTTCAGACTTCCTTCCAGCTGCAGCCAGAGCTCAGTGTCCAAAGCCTCTTCATTCCCTGTTCCATGGCTGACAGCTTTTCCCATCACAGCAGCCTGGACAGGTCTTTCTGCTGCTCTTCAAGCTCAACATGACTACTCTGCTTTCACCACATGCCAGGTCACCAAGGCTCTCAGGGAACAGATGGCAGTAGTAGGAGACTTCTATTTCCAAGAATTTTACAAATCCTGAGTACTGATTATCCAAGGTTTAAATCCTTCTAAATGTTCTCCCATCTACATTTTTTCCTCCCTCTTTCAGTACCATACTCTATTTTAGCCTTTATGCCAAACATCACAAAGTCACCACTGTTACATACACATCTCTTTATTTGGGGAAGAACTCTGAGCATCTTGCTTACTTTTAGAAAAACATAAATCACATGCTAAGAACTAAACAGCAAGGCCTTTTATTCTTGGAGCATCTCAAGACACTTCTAGATTTGACTATGAGAGGCTGATCCCAGACACTCATGGATCAAATCCAGAGCATAGAAACATAACATAATACATGAAATGCCAAAATACTTCAGTGTAGAGATGTAAAAAATGATAAATTACAAGATGAATATGACAAACTCTTCATCTTAAAAACAAAAATCATCACTAGAAAGTGCTGTATTTAATCCAGTTCTAGAAACTACAAAGTGTTGCATTTCTTGGACTTGAAATTACATGTGTCATCTCTAAAAAAATTATGTTCCAGTGTCACCAACAGACTTGAAATATTTTGCACGTTTGGGTGGAACAAATGTACTTCACCAAAACGGAGTAAGCCTTGCCTTATTTAACTTGCAAAAAGCAGCTGCATGTTGAATTTGTAACCAATAGTCTGTCACAATAGGCTGCAGAGACTCAGACTGCTCTCAAATCCTCCCTACAGCACTGCAAAGGATCCATGTGAAACCAGCACCACTACAGCTAAAAGGAAAAGCCAGTGTGCTCAAGTGGTATTTAGTGGCTCTCCAAAGCTCTGTTATATTGTATTGCTTTTTACAAGTTCTTGCTTCTCTTTACAAGGTCTCAGCTCCCTGTTAGGTTCCTATGATCCATGGTGCTGCCAGTATCCCACTTATTTCATATAAACTTTACTCAGCCAGGATACTCTCTAGTGAGGACCCTAAACATTAATACTTGAGTTTATACTGTCCATAAATACAAGTATAAATATTTTGCACAAACATAAACAAAACTTACTTGCAGGCTCCTGAAAACACACTCTCTAAAAGCCTATATATCCATACACTATATAAACTACATATATATACACGTGGCATATATATATGATAGCGTATTCCTAGTCTTCTAAAAATTAACATTAAAAATATATATACATACAAATGCATACACACAACTGCATAAATAACCTGTATAGTCCACAACTTCCTTTTAAATACTATATTGAAGCCAGTCTTTCCAAGGCAGGATTTACTGACCATTACATGCAGCTTCAATGACAGAAGTCAATTTGAGAATATAGACTCTGAAAACATTTTTACTGCATAAAAGGCTTCAATGAAAAATCTTTTAGGAGTTCTGTGTGTTAGTTTGTCTATTAATAGGGCTGGACTGTGTCTATTCATAAGGCTGAATTCAGGTCATCTATCAGACACTAGAATGGATTGAAAGGATATTATGGAGTTATGGAAGTCACTGGTGACAACTCCACCCAGTTGTTTCCCAAGTCTCTCACAAGGAGTCTGACCCAAAGCTCATTCGGTTTCGGGACATTTACAAGGTTTTGGATCAGCCCCAAGGTGACAACTTACTCCCAACCAGACCTTATTGTTTAGAACAAGGATGCTTCCTTTCAATCTGTGTTCTTTGAGAATTTAAACCTGATGGAAAACTTAAATGCTTCATCTGCATCATGAATATAAACAGCACTGATGGTGTAAACACAAGCTTTACTGCTAAACAAAGAATTGGAAGCTTGAAAAATTATCTCACTTAACCAAAATCAAAGAGCTGAACAACAGCACCATCCTGAATTTGTCTGCATCAGTTTCAAAACATTTGTCACTTTTCAGCTCCTCTTTGAAATGGTCCTTGATAAAACTGCCATCACTAGAATTGTTTCTATATTTAATTCCTATGTCAAAGTGTGACTGAAAAATTTCAAGTTCTGTTAAACAGGAAGTTCAGATTTAAAGTTTTTTAAACTTAGAACTACAAATATGGAAATGCAGTATCCTTTTGAAAATGATTCCATGTTGGGCTCAGAAAACAGGAGTCCAAGGATCTGACACATTGTACCCCAATCTCTGCTAAGGCCGGGGTTTACCCAGCAGACTGTTCCAAGGACTCCTCACTGCTTTCATCAATGTTCTGGTCAGCTGGGTAAATGCTTGAAGCTGTAAACCCAGTCAACCACACACTTTTTTCTTCTACCTGATTTGCAACAAGATGTAGGAAAGTACATAATTACAGAAAAAAGAAAATGGAAAAATGTACTCAGCCTCAAATAAACTCTTGACTTCTTTCCAGCCTGTACATTTTGTTTTAAAGACCATTCCTAATCAGTTGTGCTTCCTGTCTTTTCATCTGGGTTTGCAAGAATCACTATTTTCTCTCTCCTTGGTTGAAATGCCTATTACCAGCCCTTGCAGATTGTTTATATTTATCCCTCTTGATCTACACAGCACCTCCATGTTACAGAGCACACAGCAAAGGTCAGGAAGCCCAAAAAGCAAAGAACACGAACTCAAAAAAATCCTGGGCAACACAAAGACCTCAAGGGTATGCTTGAGTCTGTTATGCCTTTAAAGGTACAGAAGTGGAAAAGAGCAGCAATACTGCAGGAATCAGAGTGCTGGGTACGCTGCCAAGGAGCCAGGAAAAGCAGCAAACTGTGAATGGCACTGAAACCAAGAGGGATTGGGAAAAAGAGGCAAACAGACAACGGAGCATGAGATAGGGGAAAAAGAAAGTTGACCTGGAATGAGGATGGAAGCAAGCTAAGTGTTTTTAAATAATTTTTTTTTGGATGAACAACTGTATTTTTGGCAGAACAAACCAAAACACTGTGTACACTTGGAAGCAGTCTTAGATAGTTACTGAGAGAACTTATTTACACATCATTAATTGTAAAATAAAAGCCAATTTAACAGTAGTGAGTAACTTTTATAGACAGTAATGCAATCTCCAGTAAGAAATTTGAACACTGAAATCTTAAATATTTTTACCCTAAATGACAGAAGTTTTCTGATAGGATGCAATGAACCGAACTCCCAGTTTTGCCATAAGTTTGACAAACATAATGCTCAACTTCGCACAGCCACATGCAACATCTACAATAAAACAGAACTCAGGGGTTAAGGGATAAAAACATCTATTGCAGCCCTGCAGACTGGCTCAAAAATAAACTGCTTTTTCTAGGCAGAATGGGAAACAAGGAGTGAAACCAAATACCAGTCAAACCTTAGACATGAGTAAATTTCTGAAGGAGCATAATAAATGACCCTAACTACAAAGTTATTTCAAAACATTGGGTCACTCTCAGTAAATGTCAGTATTCATTTAAGCACTGGCAGCCCGATTTTTCAGAAGGAGGGAAATGTATCTTCACCATCCAAGTTGTTTCCCAAAGCAGTGGAATGGGGAACAAATGCCTTGACCTGAGATGAAGCACAGTTCTACTACATGTTATTACTTATTTGCAACTTTACAACCTGTTACTTATTTTCCACAGTTTAATCTCCTCAGCCATAAGAAGTGATTGGCAAATCAACTCTTGGCAGAAGGGAGTTGCTACAGAACTGCAACTCAGTTACCCAGCTGGAGAAAACTTTCTTGAACGAGCACACAGAAAGGTATTTGCTAAAATCCTGCTCCCGACCCTGCACAGAAAGGGCATTGAAATCCTTGCTCCTTTTCCACCTTTCTTTTTGTGTTAAAATCTCTCAGCCTGCTTGCTCCTCTATGGAAAACTAGCTAGCTTCTAGTCTCAAACTTTGCTGTCTCACAAGCTCTAAGTTCTCCTTTCTACTCTGTTTCCTTGAAAAACTGAAATCACAGTATTTTAAAGCAGGTCTTGTCCCTGAAACTCCCCTGACCAGCAGAAATCCCTTGTGCAGGTTCCAAAACGCTCATTTCTCAAACTCTGACTGCTCACACCCCTGTGATCAAGGCTCCACAACTGTGCGAGCTGAGTTAACATGGGCTCCTCCTTTCCTAGAGATCCTTCTGCTGCCTTTCACTCCTTCCCTCCCCATCTGATTCTTGGTTCATGCCTCTCCCCCTGCTCCACTACACTCACCCACCCAAGAGTATCAAACAATGTCCATCACCCTTCTTACCCCATCCTGAACTTCCCAGCCTCTGGCCTGCTCCCTGCAACTTCACATTAAATAGATCTGTATCTGTAGCCTATGGATTCAGTATGTTATCAAAACCTGTATTTCAGCTAACAGGGCAACATCATTTAGTATGGCCACAAATGTGCATTCAGAAATACATGAACAGTTGTGATCCTGCTTTAAAGATGCAACTCTTAATTTTAAAACCTTCTGTGAAAACAATTTTGTATTTAGCAAAGCACCAATCCCAAATAATGTTATTATGCAAACAGTACTAAAATATATATATTCCTCTAAAGATAGGTGAAAAGTAGTCATTTTCCACTGCAGATGAACAGTGAACGCTTTTCACACAGAAGTGAACAGTGCTTAACACTCCATAAAACTGCTCTTTCAGCCTATGTTAAAGGAAAACAACAGTATGATAATGAATTCTAGTTTGTGACTTTTGTTGTAGAAATTTATTACCTCGCAGGTCCAAATGTTTTAGGACTGTCTCATCCTTTAGGCAAGTGAAAATCTGTATTATGGCATTGTAGTGATAGGTAGTGAAAGTATTTTTTCCTGATGTATTACTGAGATATTGAGAATTAATTATTTTTGTATCATAAAAATCAAAAGAAGCAAGCTTTAGTATAATCCCCTCAATTCAGCAGTTTTGTGAAGATCAACAACAGATTACCTATGTCACTCATCAGTTACTCAAATACTTTTCCAAATCTGCAATTTGAGAGAGACACAATCTCAGGATGTGAAAAGTTCATTTATTACACACCACTGCTAACAGAAAATATCCACTGGTTTTTTGCAAGACACTCATGGCACGCAGGAATTCCCCAGTTTTGATGCACCAGAGTAAATGATGTTGATTTTAGTAAGCAAATCATAAAACTATACAGGTGGTAGAGCAGCCAATGGTACAGTGTTCACCCCAAGAGCAGACTGCTCTTAGCTACGAATAGAACAGCATTTATATTAATTATTCTTCATGTGTCATTTGGTTTTTGTAAATGGAATCCATGTATTAACTCCTAACAGTGGTGTGAGAGAGGAAAACAGTAAAACAAAAGCAACTTCTCAACATGATTAAACGGAAATACACAGGAAAAAGGCATTGGATCACATTTTAATTCTTGATATATAATAAAATGAAAAGGAATTGGGAAAAAAAGCTTGAGTTTCCTCTAAATTAAAAAATATATATTTTCTTTGAACTTAATTTATAAAGCTTCATTATATTAAAAATCTCAACAAACATTATCTCTGCAGATCCATTATGAATGAAGACTGAGAATTTTTCAATTCCTTGCATGTGTTCTCAAGTTAGGTTGACATTCACCACATTTTCCATACAAATTTTGGGTTAGTATTTGTTTTGAAATTCTCTTCCAGGGACATTTCTCAGTGCGCAAGGCTGCCTAACCCAACCTGCACAATTCCTTGGCTAAACACAGAAACCCAAGTTACCCACACAGACAATCCAACTCTTGCGGTCTGCCTTTCCAGGAAGAGGCTGAGCACCAGAAATGTTTCCAAGGAGCATTTCAAGGTACCATGCAGCAGTACTTTGCCCAGAAGCAGCTCTGTCCATGAATCTCATTCAGTAGGGAGGCAGAGGGACAACATCCAATCCCCCAAAGCACAGCTCACCACAGACACGGCAGTACCACACCACAGCTGGCACACACTGCTCCAAATCGCTACAATACCTGCGTTTCCTAAAACACCCCAGCTGTCCCTCTTCAACATTACCTTCTCGTGAATCTCTTGTGTAGACTGAGCATCACAAAACGCCACCGTGGCCACATCCTTCAGAATGGGCATCTCTACCGTGCAGTCCCGGCCGTCCAGCAGCGCTACCAGGGGCCGCGGGTGCATGGGCCCGTTCATGATCGGAGGTCGAATGCCTGCAGAAAACACAAAATCCTGTTAGTCAGGCCGTGCCAATGGCACTACAAATAGCTTACAGCTAGTCTGGTTTATGCTGAGGGCAGAAAAAGATTTCAAGGACTGAAGCTAATAAAACAGGAACGAGTTTATACTCAGCTGTCAACCAAGCACAGAAGACATTATGAGGAAATTCCATGGAGGTTCAGAAGGCTGAACTTTGAAAGATGGATAAAATCACTGAGGGAAGAGTATACTTGTTTTTTAAAGATACATCTCACTGTACTAGTCAGTGTCTCTGCAACCTTGTTCAGCCTTTAGGTTTTGACTGGATTCCACACCTTTGTGAGCTCTGGAAAGAGTGAGAAATATCTTGCCCAGGCTTGCAAGAAGAGTGGAGCTTATGGAATATAATAAGCAACTCAGTGAGGATTTGAGTATTCAATTTACATATATAATGATGATTCTGCTGAGACTAAAATTTAACTTTAAAAAGCCTACAACAGCAAAATTTTCCATTTACTGAGGATCCAGTGTCCAAGTTTACAGGCAAAATTGCTGATCTATGTAGGTCTGCTTAGACTTAAAAAAGTTTTACCAAACAATTCTATATAGCTTAGTCAAACACGTCATACTTAATCCACAACTGAAAACTCTTACAAAACAGGAAAAAATGTCCCTCCCTAAATCAATGTCACACTCTGAACGCTGTGGAGTGACAAAGAAATTCATGTCAAGTATCTGGGAGAAGGACAATCAGTCCAAACTGAAGATTTAATTTACATCCTCCTTACAGAGTCTGGAAATGAAAAATAATCCATAAGATATTTAGAGAGCATCTCTTTAACAATACAGATGCTATAAATACATAGAAGTACTCAAGGGAATAATATTAAACCATTGCATTTACAGAAAGTAGTTAAGCATGGGTGGGAAAAGAAACTTCCTGAAGAGATAATGAAAAACAAAACAAAGAATAAGGTATCTTTTTTCCTCTTTTAAAATAAGTTTTAAGCATTGCAAAGTGAATCGGGCTAGTTATTTCTTGTATACAAATTTCAACAGCTATTTTTGTTGCGGTGTCAATTTTAAAACATGGCTTATTTTCTTGTTAATCCAAGTTGGTCCAACAGCAATGCAAATGACTGAGGTGCCCCAGTTAACTCCTACAAGCAATCCCTGCACCTTAAGTCCCAGCCTGTGTCAGAAAGCAAGTCCTGGAAGACTGGTATCTGCATTTCCAGTGGATGGAAAACCAGCAGCATCCCAGCCATACAAGTATGCGATGAAGAAAAGCAGCTGCTGGGAAGAGAGATTTTCACAAGTCAACAAAAGGAGCGTTTGGCTTCCCCGGGGAGCAGCCTGGGCTCTGGGACACTCCAGGGGCTGCTGCCCTCACAGTGCCTCTCACTGCCTGGCCTGAACCCACAACTGCAGGGCACTCCCAGCCAGCTCGGGACAGCCCAGTGCCCCTGCAGGCTGGCACTGCAGCTCTGCACCCATTCACACTGCTTTTATACCCCAGTGCCCCTGCAGGCTGGCACTGCAGCTCTGCACCCATTCACACTGCTTTTATACCCCAGTGCCCCTGCAGGCTGGCACTGCAGCTCTGCACCCATTCACACTGCTTTTATACCCCAGTGCCCCTGCAGGCTGGCACTGCAGCTCTGCACCCATTCACACTGCTTTTATACCCCAGTGCCCCTGCAGCTCTGCACCCATTCACACTGCTTTTATACCCCAGTGCCCCTGCAGGCTGGCATTGCAGTTCTTTGCCTATTCACACTGCTTTTATACCCCAGTGCCCCTGCAGGCTGGCACTGCAGTTCTTTGCCTATTCACACTGCTTTTATAGCTGAAGACATGAGAACAGCAGTCACTAGGTTTGGCTCTTTTCTGCTCCACTTCCAGCACCTCCCCACCCCTGATGGCATGGACTGACTGACTCTGCAATACTCTCACCGTTTTTCAGATGGGAACAAACAAAGTTTGTTATGGCAATTACACTGTTGCAAAAACACTCCTAACCTGTACTATGATAGGTGAGCTTAGAAATGCTTCTGGTACACATTATTTCAGTAATATTCAGCCACCAAAACTAAATGGGAGACATTAATACGTAATTTTTCAAACTGTGCAGCTTGATAGCTTATTGTCAATACTTGTTTGAATCAAAAATGGCCACATAACCCTCATACAGACATTTTTAGTAAATAAACTACACACCAGTAATGGGGTACAGGAGACAAACACCAGAATGTACAACATAAAAATACTTAAGGTATTAATGGAACAATTCTATCCTTTAATGGGGATTTAATTACAAAACTCCACATTAAATATACTTAAATACATCCTAGGATAAAGCATGTTATAGACTTGCTCACATTTTTTAAAAAACAGTATATATAACAGCATTAATAAAATGCAATTATGTCTAGAAACAAATGCAAAAATGACATTGCAAGACCTCTTCATTTTGCTTAGAGTGACTGTGCTTACTCAACAACTGAAACATCATGATCTTGTCAGTACAGCAAAGCCAGAAATTCAATAACAAGTCTGAATGCTAGCTAAAATAAAATTTTAAAAGCTAAAAACTTTGACACTAAATTTGTTGCAGATGAATGAGGAAAAATATGGCACAGGTGATTCCCTCAGAGCTACAACTAAAGCACCTCTGTCAGAGCACAGAGTCCAAGCTTTAAAAAGTAGGTGAGATTAAAAACTCTCACTTCAAAGAAACACTTTTCTGACCAGGGCTAGCTCAAAAAATCATGAAATGTTACAGCACTGAACAGAGCCCTTTCAGATAATGATTTCTCTAAAACACAAAGGTGTGGTCTGGTTTTCCCCTCACACCAGTATATCTAAGATTTCAGCCAAGTTACTTGTGCAACACTGGTGCTAAGGGGAATGCCAGGGCAAGCCCCAAAGCACAGGAACAGAGTCAGAAAAACCCCAGAAGGAGGAACCCTCCCTGAGAAATTTCAAGGCTTTGTTAAGAATCCCCAGAACTCAAATACATCCAGTGACCTTGACCACAAAAACCCTACAAACCTCTGCTTGCTAAAATCCTTTCTGAACTTCAGCACAGACTTCCTGTTGCACAATCTTTGTGCCTAAATCTCCTGCCCCTGAATGGCAGGCAGCAATTCCCACTTCAGGTAACTTCCAGGAACTTCATCCCAGTGGCAGCCCCTACCTAAAGTCCCCATTTGGGAAGACATGGATTCACTGTAAATCAGAACCTTTGGAACAAAAAGCTTCCTCTTCCAGCATTTGGACACATTCTGCCTGGATTTTATCTGGGAATGTCACACTGCACTGTGCCTTTGGCTTTGCAGGGGACCCTCAGAGAGGCAGCAGAAAGCAATGTGGATTTAAGAGCAATGTGGATTTAAGGGCAGTGTTTTCCATGCCTGCATTTACAGTGAATAATGCAGCTCTGTGCCAGAGAGAAGTAACTGCAAAGTGGTCAGAAGTGACATTCAACATGACAAATGTAAAACTGAGTTAAAAAATAATTTCACTTAGCTGGCTTATTTAAAAGTATTATGGTATAGCACTTCATATTACACAGATAACACAAATTATACCATCCACCCCCAAATCCTATAACTTTTGTTATGGGAAAACAATCTTAGTTTATCCTAACTCAAGACTTTCAGGAACCCCTACCAACCTGACATTTCTTAATCTGAGCTTGATTTCCAGGATCATGAATTCGATTTCTCAATGCTTTACAATCTTCAGTATTCTGAGGCAAAATAGCAGCCTGTCACTCCATCCTCATTTCCATGTCTTTAATTTTTCTTGCAGCCTCCTGTTATCTTGAACCAAAGCTTTTATACTTCTTATCCACTGCAACCTCTGTAGCCTGGATGGTGTTCAAATTTTTACTAAAAATTAAACACAAACAATACATTAAAACAACGTTAAGGGTCTGACTCGTGCTCACAGAAGGCAGGAAACTCGAAATTAAAGCTTCTCACTGCATCTGTACTCTTCCCCCTATGGCTGCTGGCTTCCCACCACACCGGCTGTGCTGCCACGGGCCATGAGCATTGCAGGGCAAGCAGGGGAGCGGTAACACACACTGCACCTTGCTCGGGACAGCAGGTGTACTGCACATACGCCTACCTGCAATGGTGGGCACCACTCCCATGGCCAAGGCTTTGCCTGGCTGGGCAGGGATCCAGGGACAGCGTGTGATCTCCAAAATCCCCCTGCTGGAGGGCCAAGCCCTCCGGTGGGTACCAGAGATGGAGTGAGAAGCCTTAACTCTGAACTTGACGCTTTAGCTGGGTGTAAGTCAGGCCCTTAAGGTTATCTAAATGTATTAAAGAACAAACCTCACACTTTCCCAACAGCTCTAATCCAGCTGCTAGTCTGGGGTTTCTGCCCTGCCCCCATGTGGAACAAATCAGGTGGGGAAGCTCTTACCCAGTACCAGCTACCGTGCCAGTGGCTGCTGGGTTTTTCTAAATTAATTCCAGGTATAAGGTGCAGGGACAGACAGAGCAGCTGTCCACGGCAGCAGCTATTCACATGTGGCTCACAGCACAGTGCCTCTGCACAGCTGCAGCCTGCAAAAAACCTATCAAAACCTTATTCTGGTCCAGCTCTTATGGAAATAAACGGGGGAATTGAAAAAGCAGTTTTCAGCTGCAGAACCTGAGAGGAGGCCAGCCTTGAGCACAGCTGACTGTGGGTCCCAGAAACAGGGGATTAACGAGCTCACCGTGCAGCTTTGCAACCAAACAGGAGCGTGAGGGCTGTGAATTATTTCACCTCCACACCTTTGAGAGCATGGGGACTCAAAGGCGATCAGCCCAACCTCAGCACAAGATGTATTTTCTTAAACTGGGAGGAAGCCACCTAAGCAGGGTAGTGTCCTCCTCCCTCCCAAAGCCACCAGCATCTCCTGCTCCTCAAGCAAAGGGGAGGGTACATTGTTTGTGCCACCTCCAATGCCATTGGCACGCTCAGCACTGCAGGGTAAGAAAGCTCTCCCTGACGTAATCCAGGCTGCTAAAATGTGTTTCAAACTTTCCGTAAAAACATCTTCTTATGGTACAAACTGACAGTAATTGAAGCAGTCACTTTGCCCAAATACCAGAGATCTCAAAGTAGTCTGCCATGGTTTACTGACATCAGAAAATGTACTACAATGCAAAGCTATCAAAATTAATAACAATGTAATTTTCACATTTTTCTACTGCTGATTGACCTTGACATCATTAGGGTGAGGAGTGTCTCATATAAAGCACACATGTTAACAGTAAAGGACACTGTCAGATTTGTAGGCCCAAAACTTGACCTACCTTTCATTTCTTTAAATCTGTTTGCAAAGTCCATGTAATTCTTTAAATGTGTTTTTCTTTTTTCAAAACAAATGCTTCAATTCTTTTTTTCTGAAAAATACATCAATGCCAAAAAGCACAACACTTATCAATAACCCTATAATCACAAACCAACAGGAACATGAAATCGAGGAGAGCAGCCTGGCAAGAGTTTTCCTGTCACTGGGGATTCTTACAAGTGCAAAGATTAAATAAGGAAGAAAAATCCCTTGACAATATCCTCCTTTTCAAAGAATTTGTGGTAAAAAACTTCCTTTATACATTGTAAAACATCAAAGTGATTTATTTTTTTTACAAAATGCAAACTACTGAAAAACCTCATCAATATTTACAGAAACAAGACCTGAAAATGACAGGTTGGACATTCAACTAATTTATAGCCTTGCACATGTATAATGAGACTAACCCCTTTGGCATTTACCTTTATTTTATATTCTTACCTAGGTGTAAATTCAGTGAGAGCTGTCACTTATCTATCATAAACCCTCACAAAAATTTGCATTATTTTCAAAAATAAATGCTAATATTAATTCAAGGAAAGAATGAATTGTCAAAACAAACAAAAAATACCCTACTCATAACACGAACACAGAAGCTGTTATGAATTACATCTGCCAATATGCACCATTAAAATTCCTAGAAACCCCATACTTAAAAACCATATTTTAAGGTTTCTGACCTATCATGCATTTTTACATCTTGGACTGTTTTGGCAGGCTCATTGTTTTGTGCACCATGAACTCAAGTTCAAGATATTCAGATTCAAGGTATAGCAAAACTCTAAGAGCAGTCAATTAGGAGTTTGAAATACAACTCAGGTACAAGGATCAAAGAAAAGGATGCAAGAAAAAAAAAACATTTATCATCCTTCAGTATTGTGATATTCAGCACATTTAGATGCTGAATATGCAACACAAAAATTTCATGATTCCACCAGAATCTGAGCCAACACTTTTTGCTGCTGCCTTCAAGATGAGCAGGATGCAATTTCCTATGAGTTGGGATGCAGGATTGGAGGGAGGCACAGGGGAGAATACTTTAAAATAAAGAACACCAACAAGGGACAAAACAGTGACAGCCACCCTCAGAAGACTGAATTATGCAGCAGATTAAATTTAATTTCCTTCTTTTCTCATCTCATTTAATGCTTCTAAGTGTATTTCTCAAGATTTTAGGAACCTGCTGCAAGGCTTATTAAAATTGAGAGGAACAACCCCAAACTGCTTTTGAAAGTAACAAGATGGATGGATCTCACAGTGCACACGCAAAAGCAAAGTGAGCAGAGGCTGCACGGAAAGCTGGTGTGCAGCCCTGGGGAAGTTAATGCTGAGCACACTGGACTTTACTGCAAGCACACAGTGCATGAATCCTGCTGCTCTCTATGCTTTTTATTTACCTGAACTCAGAAAGAACAAGTCATCTTCCTTCTTTTCTTTTGAATTAGCAGGAGACCAAGAAAAACACAAGCGGTTTCCTGTGCTGCGCTGCCCCGGCGATGTGCAGAGCAGTCACACCCAGCCGTACCCTCCTGCTGACTGTGAGGGTGAAACGCACCCGGAGCTCTGCAGACACTCCCAGCTCCCTCCCCGACACTGAACGGACACCACCAGCAGCACCGTGAAGCCGCAGCCCGGCCCTCAGCCCTCCGTGGGGGCATCTGTGCACATTTCACTTCACTGTTTCACTGCCTGGGCACCAGGCAGTCACCCCAGCACACAGCACAGCAGCCGCAGCACAAAGCGCGTGAGACAACTCTCTTGCTTGATTTTGGTACAATCAAAACAAAACAGCCAATGACTTCTGTTTAGAACATTCTGCATTTCCCTGCTGCTACTAGAACCTGACTCATGATTCCTCATTCCTGTTCCATACTCACACTGCAGGTAACCTTGCCATTCTCAGGGTATTATTCTGACAATCACGAGGACATGGGGCTTAGCTGTGGTTTTTAATAGTGATCCCTAACCAGTGGGGTTTGGTTGTTTTTTTTTTTTAATCTAGTAATTTTGCTCTTATTTGTCTAATATCTGTCAGTGTGCACACTAAATCCTAAGTGCCTGTCAGGGTACAAAAAACCAAACATCCCACAAGGTACATCTTGAAAGCCTTTGATCAGAAATAATGTTCCATTAAGGAGAAACAAAATAATCTGGCAACATTTTATATTACACATGTACTTCAAACATCAGTGTGAAGACTGGAAGCATTTCACATCTGTCAAAAAATTACTCAAATTACATATTTGGAGTATGCTGTAAAGATATGCCTAATCTTAACTAATACTTTTCAAAATAAGACTGAAAACAGTATGAATCACACTATTTAATGTAAAATAAACAAGCAGTAACAGCACTATGTACTATGGTAAAATGTTTTAATTTCCCACCACCATTTAAAAAGCAAAACAAACGGCAATATTCAGTAACAACTATATCAAGTAGCAAACACAGAAAGTCTAAGTATCTGCAATAAAACACACACTAAAAGCAATGCAGCAGTGTTGTTTTCAAGTAACAGATACATGAAAGCAAACTCCAGAGAAAGGCAAAACATCATCAAGGACTGAGCTCTCCTTGGACGTGCAACATCTCAGTGCCTGTGCACAGCGAGTGTGTATCTGTTTCAAATATTTCCAGCTTTATTAAGTAATAAGTGAAAGAAGGGGGAGGATCAATAAATTGGCAACAGTGGAGCTGTGCTAGTTGAGTTCACTCACATCAATCTCAGCTTCTGAGAAATTCTGGCTAAGGCTGCCAGCTCCTGTTAGCTATCCCACAGGTTTTACAGTCCACACACACTGTGACAAAAGCCACAAGAAACTGCTTGGTCACTTACAGGAATCACTGCAGTGAACTTGGGGCTGGGACCTGCAAATCAAGACCCAACCAACTCGAGAATTGTAACTCAGCAGCCACATCTGCCCACAACTATGGACATCAATCTCCAGCTGCTGATGGGGCAGCTTGTCCAAAACGCAGAGCTGAAGGCATGAGCCAAGCCTGCACTACAGACATCCCCACACAGCACCCTATGCTGGGTTTATATCAGAATGCACCTCCCCTTTCCCCTTCCCCAGGACAGTGACCATGGAGCGGCTGATTATGGCAGCTGGAGGCTAACCCACCCTAACAAGCTCCCAAACTCTGGTTTAAAATACAACTGGGCTTATATTTCAGACCATAAATTTTATTGGCGGGTGGGTGTGACTTTAAAAAAAAAAGGCAGAAAATTCCTGCTGGCAGAAAGTGGAAAAACAATCTGTTTCAACAATTGCACTAGGAGCAGAATGATTAACTCCCTGAGCCTTTCCAGTAACAATACAGACCTTGCCAAGACTTACTGAAACACTTTCCACGGAAGAAGCAATCCTGAGGATAAATAACACCAGACCAGACCAGGTTGGCAAAGGAGGGTTGTGCTGCACATGAAGTGCATCAGTGGCCCTTACCCTCACTCCTCTGCCCATGTGCTCAATAGGCAGCATGCAACCATGCCTTTCCATTTTAAATCAAGTTATCAGAACTAGCATCTGGGCT